GTGCTCTAGAATCCGGCTCCCGGCTGTCTTGCTGGTCATAGCTAGTGAGTCTCTGCTTCGCTTGCTAGTATTCCTCGTACTTATTCAGATGCGGCCTTGTCGTCAGTCTTATTTACACTCTCATACGAATGCGTACAATGCACATCACATCCTATCGCGCTCCTGCAGGGACCACATCCATCATTCGCGCATCCTTCTCATCGCCGTTTCGAAACGCCCTGCAACACTATGCACAGCATTGTGCCATCCCCTCGATTATTTATTCCCAGTGACCTCAGCGTCTATACGCACTTGCACGCCCACTTGCAGGTGCGCAGTGCTCTGATACTTCCTATGCCTTCTTGGCTAATTATCTGCTTGTCTCAGCCTCTGTATGTTTCACACCCTTCGCTTACGAAAATCACGGCATTTAGAGCGACTCGGAACAAACAACAAATTCTTGGAAAAGTTATATGGATGCTCCTGCTATTGTAACAAGCTAGCTCCAGCGGTCTAGGCATCGTCGTGGTCCTGCTCAACTGTAGGCGCACTGGGTTGATTAGCCACTTTATTATCATCGTCTGTAACATGCGCGCAATATACACACACTGTCACATATGATACTCGGCTTCCAGCCTGGTCGTACCTTTGCCTGCGTGTACAAGCCGTCATTCCACGTTCTGGCCTGCATAGCGTAAGGACGCACCGCACTGGCACGTCTGATCTCGGCTCGGGAGTGAAACTGGAAACGAGGGTGACGGCGATAAAGGTTCCAAAACTACAGTCATCACTCAAATTGAGGTTGTCCCCGGTCAGCTCACATGTGGCTCAGCTGTGCGCACTGGCAACTCAGTGTCGCACAACACTACGTTGACAGCGCCGCGACGGCCACCGGCGTTTGCCGCGGACGACCGCATCTAAGATCATAAAGTTAGTGGACTGGCCTATCACTCTCACTCTCACTACTATACCGATTCACTTCGACAAAAGCGCTATAATATGGTATTCTGCACCACTTCACAAATGTCTTAATTATTACCCACTGCTCTGGGCAAACGGAACCACATCCTCGCTGCCGATGAATGACTCACGAACATTGACGACGCACCTTTCAACTTGAGATTCAGCTTCAGAATCTGGGCTCATCGCAGTTGCTCATCTGACAAGACGTCCAGTAATTATTGTTACACTAAATGTCTGAAATGGACGGGCGCGGCAAGTTCAAGCACACGATGGACGGTGGTGATGACCGCGAATTCCCGCAGGTATCGCAGCAACAAGACACATGCGGACCACGAAGAACTACGCAAAGGAGCTCCTGTGTGCAAGTAAGGATATGGGGTACAGAAGAGCACGGACGGAGCATAATGGACCAAACATGGCGAGTACTTCAATTGGCTCCCCATCTCTGAGCGCAGATCGTGGCAATGCATGCGCTCTCCTCGTCTGAGGAGAAACTATACTATTCGACATACCGGGTGAAGGACACTTTTGTGCAAATGTTGCCGAGTCCTTGCATAATCTGCACTCTGGTAAACCGGCTGCTGTTACTATGGGCTCAACTTTCCTGACGGGCGGGGCGTGGGACTTCGGTGGTCCCTTGGGGCGCTTTGTCGCCCCAGTTGGTGCAAATTAGCGCTTGCTTCTGGGTGTGGACGATGACGCGGATGGAGTAGGGTACTTGCGGGTGTCCTTGGAGTAGACTCATAGCGGGTTTCGTTGTCGGGGAACTGGGTGTAACTTGTGCTCTGCGTGCCACAGACTGGACTCGCGTTCGCTCGCTACGCCGCGCGGCGTCCTATGCGATCGGTGCACATGAGCCCCAATGCCGTTGTGGGCTTGATTATTTTGCAAATATGTTTGCGCTAAATGCAATTGGATATGTTAGACGTACGGATGTGTTCGATCGCACTGTCAATGCTGGACCGGCCGGCGGTGGAACCGCCACGCAAAGTTGAAGTCTATACTCTTTGCATATGCAGGAATCATGGACTGAGATAATGGGACGGATTTCAGACTCCTGATCAAACGAGAGACACCAGGGACTTACATCGTGCTTTGGGTGAACTTCGAACAAAGGAGGATGCATCCTGGCCTCGGGGTCTATGTCGAAGAGCATGTCATTCACTTGAGTGTGAACGGGCTGGCTTGCTGCGCGAGATTTGGATCCTCCGGGTACCATTCTATTTGTGTTGTTGATGGGTGGTATGTGTGGCTGAATACAGACACATGACATTGTCAGTGCTCTGTAGAGAATGAACGGCAAATGCAGGTCTACGCACATCCTGGGACGCTAGAGACAATCATTGAGTTAAGAGAAGACAAGATCAAGGGCTGGTTTATACTAGCACGTGGTGAGTCCTCGGCACCTTTCCCGATTACTCGTCCTTTGTTCTGAGAATGTACGTCCACATAGCGTGCGTGTATGTATTCCCTACTCAAGCGAAGATATGGATCCTAGGGATAAGTATATAATGCAAGCATTGTCGATGCTGTTGGTTGTTGGCTTGATAATCAGCAAATGATAATGGAGGGAGTTGATCGAACAATGCACCCTGATAGGCCTCAATATGTCTTTGTTCTTCTCGCGTCGATTATGGAATTTGCTGATGGGTTGCCCTGGCCCAGGAGATGCACATCGCGCGACCTGGTATATTTACTCATTACCCTGTTCTGCGCCAGAGCCAATGTCACATTGGTAATTCACAGGATAGTGTCTTCAAGCCGATGTCCAAGCTTTCGGCCTTTCGGATGCAGCATTCGGATGTTGGCCGCGGAGCCGCTTCGAGCCGCTCTTTTGAGCTCTCGGGCGAAGGTGTGCTTCTGAGCTCTCGGACGAAGGTACGCTTCTGATTGAGCCTGCTCCATTAGTTGAGATTGTCGTTGGAACTGACACTGTCCGCCTTCCTAGGCTTCGATGTGACAATACTTGCACCCTGAAGTGAGCGTTGTGCCCGAGCGCATGCACATTACGCAATAAATCGGTAAATTGAAGCCTGCCGTGGTCGTTTTGAAATATTTGGGCCAATGCAATCACGTGAAGTGCCATGGTCATGCGTAGGCTGATAGCAAGTTGAACTTTCCGTGGCTGTTCGCAACCCTCCTGTTTCTTTCATCACACCTTATCGCGGACTTGATTCGCTACTTACTCCCGGTGACAGCCTCCGCGACACAACTTCCACAGATAGACATGTTTACAATTCCTATGAGGCAAGGCATGCCTGCAGCAGGGAATCATATCGCGGAACCTGCAGTCATTATCGTTGACGGTTACACTGGACTACTCCCACCCGCGCCTGCTTGGGACACATGCAAATCGGTTGTGGCTGATGTCGAAATGCACAGTCAGGTCGAGGTCTCATCGTTCACGCAAGAAGTGACGGTGGGCATATGCGTCGCTGATGGCGCACCAATGGACGTGGATATTGTAGTCGCACCTCAAATTGCAGATGGCGTGTGCACCGAGGAAGACAGCAACATGCTCCAGGAAGAAGACGAAGCAGTTGAGATGAAGCTCGACGGCATTGCCCACGAATTGGCGCCACACACTCTCATCACCCCTCGCCTCATGTTTCCGCATTTGGGCTATACAGGCCTTTTATTTCCGGAAAATATCCACCCACAGCTAAGTCCGCCACTCCTTGCCGATCCCATAAATAATTTGCAGCCGTTGCCACCGCAACCTCCGTCAATATCCGCCGTCAACTCCTTCCACGCTGCGGTGCCCATTGGCACAGTGGCTGAGCTAGCATTCAGCGTGCATCCGTACTCAGCGATCCATACGAGCTCCGAAAGAGACCATTGGAACCCTGGCGGCTTATGCGATGCTCCATTAGCCACTGCGAATCAGGGAGAAGTAAAATTTGCCAATGCGTGTACATCATATACAGGTACGTGCACGCGGATTACTGTTCTATCTGTGGCATTTGTTTATACCTAGTATCCGCAGATGCCTTCTGTAGGAGGACGAGGAACGGAAGAGTAGATTGGGGCGGCATCATGAATGCAAACATGACGTCGATCAAGATCTACCGCAAAACATATTCTGCTCTCATGGGCGCATATCTGGACGACGACACTTGCAAACAGATACGCGCCAGGGGTACGACCGCGCATAATGCGCGGGAGGAAATGCGTAAACGACGGAAGAGAATCTTGCCGAATTGCGCCTTGAATCCCGAAGGGAGCTCTAGATCCAGGACGCGTTTTGCTCAAAAGCTGCAGTCAGCTGTGTACGCGCGTATGCCTCTGTTTCCTCTTCCCCTACTGACAGGTGCGGGCAGGAGCGCCAAGGCTCAGAGGCACAAAAGGACGAACAAGATGGTCAAGCACCGTACAGGCGATGACCTGGCTGAGCTTTGTCTCATGCTAATGCGGTTGTCATTGATGACCTCGTTCGACGCGCTACTGTGAACGGATAAGACAGTGGCGTCAAGCTCCCGTCCTCAGGCGCCCACGGACCCAGCTGACGGCATTCTTTGCCTGATCCTTGTATCAGACGCCATGGCAGATACAATACTGCACGGGAGGATGACCCACCGTCTCTAGTAGACTCCGCTACGGCAAATCTCCTCAACCTCTACGGCGTCGTTACCGCGGTCATCTCATCCGCCTACCCCCGACCTCTCATTGGCTTCATCCATCAATGTGAGCTAAGTGATAGAATCTTCCTATCGGCTTCCTCGGCTCGTCATTTGAGCTACATATCGAGTTTGTCTCGCTTGCTCCTTTTGTGCGTGGCCTTGCTTCGAAAACACCTCTTCCTCTGATTCTGACCTAATGTTTGCTGCAGCCATTTCTTGGATTGATCCCCGGTGTACTCACTCGTTACCAAAATTTCCCTTCAAACTGTGACGACATATTCATTCTCCCGGCATCGACTCGGTTTCCTCGGTCCCAGGGACTCGGAACTCGCGGGAGGCATGTGAAGACGACCAACGGTTAAATGGTAGTCGTGTACTTGAGTTTAGATACGCGGATTCGCCCGTATCTGTATCCAGAAGTTCAGCAAATCTTGTGGTGCAAAGGGAATGAGACATCGACAGTTGGCTTTGACAGCCTTCACGGGATCTCAGTTTCTTGTGTTTGCTGGGATCTACTCACATCTATATATTGATCGCTGGATATAGACCTGTAACCATGCAGGTCTTCGCGTGTGATTTGGGGAGGGTGTAGCTGAGGCAGGATTGGTGGGCAGCCAATGTGGTACTGGCTTAGCATGACCTTATCTAGCGGATCATATGATGTTGGCAGGGTATTGGTGAGGACTGTCGAGGACCGAAGTTGGCCACGGACCTCGTAGATATAAAGTCGCACTCAACTATGCATTCTCCCCATGAAAATACCCCCATTCGAACGGTAAAGCCTAGATTGTTGGCCATAATCGTGGCCCGACAATGCGGAGTAAACTCGCTCGACATCAGGATATTGAGGCGTGAGTCGGTACGATTCCATTCTCACTACAACATCGCCTTCTATTTCTCCCTGCTTGATCTTGATCACCAGGTGGACGGGACGACTCGTGTAATAGATACTCGCCGCTCTTAGCATGTCCTTGTCTAGAGGATCTTCTCTCGTCCTCCGAGAAGTCGGGACGGCTGGTGCGAGGCGCCGCCGGCCACGTCAATATGAAGCCACAATCGTCTATCTGTCCTCCCCATGTCTATCAGGCAGCCCCTGGCCTGGACATCGCAACTCCGGTTACCAACATAGATATTGTGAGTATCACATGGGTTCATCCTTTGTAATGCACTTGCCGAAAAGCAACAGATGAGCACTCTACAACACATGCCTGGCGGGAGAGCATCTCTATCGACCCAGCGTTACTATTTGTTCCATCCGTCCGAGAATATACTCTCCACTGACACGGCATGGCATGGGGGCATGGACAACACTGTCGACCCAGGAGACCCAGCGTACTCCCTACTGGAATCATTAGGGCTACATTCGGTACCAATCCACGCAGACGATGTGTCACACGTGTCTGCTCCTGGTCTACACATTGTAGAGCAGGAAACAAACAACAATGCACAAATCATCCAGGATGAAGACCTTGAGCACATGCTTGACCTCGATCTCGAGAATGCTCGTGAAGAGCCTGACGACATCGATCATGACGGCACACCGCGCGACAGTGTTTCCGCCGCAATCACCAACCGACCCTCTGACCTGCGGCAGTCGCTCAACGTAATTCCCCCAGTTTCCCAGTCATGCGCACCACCTCCACTTCTGGTGCAGCGTGGAAAGGGAGGTCGCAGAGGTGAACTGTCCTCGCTGCTGCCCCCAAAAGCGGCACCATCCAGGACTCAGCCCACATGGGCTGCAAAAAAGCCCGCCCGCAATGCAATGCGGAGCTCCGATGACGTGCATGATGGCGACCGCGGAGCGACGACGTCACGCACCAGTAAGAAGATTCGACTCACTATGCCTCCTGCTCCGCTTGCTTAATTGCGGCAGGACCGCAGCATCTCTGTCCAGCAACTCGTGGATCCCGCAGCCTTCGAGTGCCCAAAATGCAAGAAGCCAGAGGCAGACTTCACGAAAAGGCCTCAATTCGAACGGCATATAAGGGGCTGCCTCCTGGGCAAATTGAACTCGTGCTGGGTATGCGCGGAGGAGAGAAAGATTGCCTTTGCTCGGACCGACGCTCTGCAGCGTCATTTCGAGGCGAAGCATCCATGGGCGCCGGTCCCGTCGCGGAAGGGTTGATGTTTCAGGCTTGTCTTGAATGCTACGTACGACACACGGCTGATTGTAGTAGATCTGCCTCGGTCGACGTTGAGCAAGTGGAGCACAGCTGAAGGAGTAATTTGTTCTTATGCTGGTGATCTCGAACCTCCGGGTTGTGTATAAACGCTACGATAACAATGTTTCGTGTCGCCGGGTAGCTTTGTGTGATGAAAGGACAAGATGATCAGGCGTGCCATCCGAGATGGTCCGAAGATGGACCGGCGCTTATGGGTGTACCATACCCGCGTCATCTGAATCACGTAATATTGCGCTGCGTCGTCGAACATACAGCAAAACCAATATTGATAGACCTCCCCTCGCAAAGTATACACTTCGGCAAAGTGGGGCAGAAGCTTGCGGCAGGAGTCGGCAGTGGTGCAGAGACGGCGACCGGCAGCCGATCAGGGGCGGGCTACTGAGTAGACGCTTGCTGTGATCCCTTCGTCTACCGACCATGGTCAGTAATCGACGATATATGGATCCTGCTCAGAAAGGATTCGTTGTATACATGTCTCGCTTTATGGGTAATGATCAGAAGCTACTGGTATTGCGTCACAGTAGAGTGCAGAACTCGTCGCTGTCTGCCATTGCTTGCGGAAGCAAGCGGGGTAGACCTCGACAAACGGACGAATATTGAGGCATTGGTGTGGATTACTTCATATGGCTGCCGCGAACAACCTCTGAGGAATCAGTGCACTTCACCCCAAGGTGCCGAGCGCCGTTATGCTCCATGCCGCCTATCTGTACTTTTTGCGAGGGAGGTCTATCAATATTGGTTTTGCTGTAATATGACTAATTTCATTACACTCATGTCGGGAAATTCACAACCCGGGAATCACTTTTACACATGTATGCCTAAGAAGATAGACAACTTGAGTGTACTCTCTCATACTGAAACGTACATAAAGCAGGGCGACAAACTTGGGAAAAGCATACTATACAACGCTAACATCAGCTGTGGCCGTTGCGAGCATGTGCAATTACCAGTAACAGTCAGCAGGCATCGGCATGTCCGGAAGGGGATTGAGTAGCAGCCTCTCACGCAGCTTCTGCCTCTCTTCTCCACGCACGTCCTTGAACATCGGGTAGTATTGCTTCCTGACATTGTACCATCGCCTTTTTTGCTCAGCGTCGTTGTATTCACCCAAATCGAACATTTTGAGGTTGGGAAGGATCTCTTCCAAGAACGCGGCAGCCTCGGACACGGGACCGTCAATGATTATCCACGAAACTTTGAGTCTGTCAATCTTGGGGAGCTGGGGCTGCGCCGGAGAGTTCGTTGTCGCGGGAGGACCTGTGTAACCGCTCGCCATGAATGGAATCTCCAATTTCTCTAGACGTGGGCAATGGGTGGCGAAGGACTGGAGAGATCGCCACGATGTCTGTACCTCGTCGGCCCCCCAAGGATATGATCTTGAGGTGAGACCCAAATCTTCAATTTGTGGCCATGCGACCGCCAATTGCTCCATAAGCGCGTCGTCATAGTCTACCGACCAGTTTCCACATAGATGTAGCCGTCTCAGTTGACGGAATGCGAGCAATGTGTGGAGATGATGTGGGCGGACAATACATTCACGGGCAAGAATGTCTTCCTGATCCTGACTGACTTCTGAAGAGTCCCCTAGCTCTATGTCGAGGTCCGTCACTTTCAATGGAGAGAGCCGCAGTTGAACGGAATTGAATAGGGTAGTAATTCCGGAGCCATCGCTGGATTCAAGTGAGTAGACAGAGATGGTCTCTGCTTGGGGAAACCCTGTGTGCTCCATGAACCTGAGAAGCGCGGTGGAATCTTCGGTGAAGATGTGCAGCTGGCGGAGCACGGGAAAATTAGCCTGAATGCTGGACTGCAAAGCTGCTCCTATCCAGTACTCGGCAGCGGAGGCAGTCAGAGCGAAATTCAACTCAGTGAGCGTGGTGGAGCCACCGAGATGGCATAGTGCGCTTTCAGTCAAAGGGATCTCGTTGCAGCATAGTCTTCTGAGCCTCGCCAAGCGATTTTTCAGTGAGGAAACCCACTCTGTAACAGGGAAAACGAGGTCGGATATATCGGGGGAGACCTTGATGTCTATCTCAGTGAGCTGAGGACAGTTGTTCCCAATCCTTGTCAGGAAATTCGTTAGAGACTGTTCTGAGACTTCGTCTTCGTCATCGTAAAGCATTGCGTCTACGACAACCTTTCTCAGCTGTGGGCCAATGCATAGGCAGGCATTGTCCCACGTAGTTTCAGCACGCTCGTCGTCATAATCTTGGCGACATATGTGCAAGGATCGGAATGACCAGTCCAGGGTGTGGATGGAGGGGAACAATGTAGGGGCTGGAAGTGACTTGACCAGGGCGTTCAGTGCGCGCGACGGGATCATATCGGTCTCGTATCGCAGCCATTGAGAATACTGTCTGCTGCCTCGACGGAATCCGATCTGCTTCACCAGCGGGGCATATTGCATGATTGCGGTGAAGTCGCTAGCATTGAGGCGTCGTTGTAAATCCTGTGTGGGTGGTAGATTCAGTACGCATCCCGCTTCCGAGAGAGACTGGCTACGCACATAGACTCTGATGGTTCCGTTCGACGGGAACGGTAAACTATGTTCTTTGAACCTCCACGCATCGGCCGGCAGTAGGCGGAATATGGGGATCATGTTTTCCAAGCACCGCCAGAGCACTTCAACTGCGATGGGGTAAAATGTTCTGCACGACCGTGCCAACACAGCGAGGGATGGGTAATCGTCGTCGTCGTGGACGTACTGACAGATCGCTAGGAAGATCTCCGCCACCGAGACCACTTGATGCATTGTATGCGTTGGATACGTCTCAACGATGAGATAGAGGATGAAAGTGTATATGTCGACAATGTGTTGAGCAAGTAAAGGCAAGGAAGAAGGAGGGTCAAGCGCTGGCAAGGCGTCGTGGCCGCAAGTGTGGTGGAGCCTTCTTCCCACGATGGATTGTGTTGTTGTGGCCCAAGCGCTTGGTCTTTTGCATCGTGACTTGTCTTATTGTTATTAATGATGCATTGCGGTCGGTATGCCAATGCAGCCACCCATTTTCGCCGACATCCCATAACCGCCAACACGATATATTGCGAGTATTGACGTGAGTATCTATGATGGCGCAACGCTTTAATATGCCTTCATGATATTCCTCGTAGAATGTTTTAACTTGATAATCCAAGAGTGTCAGCACAAGGTAATGCCGATACAGCCAAACAGGCCGATTCCTGCCACCTGTTCCGTTGCGGTGAGGAAGACCGCGGCATGCAACACATGCATTCACCTGAGCACGTACTCAATGGTTCGAATGACTCCGGAAGAGCATTGGGCTCACAGAGATGATGCGAAACCACAACACCAACATGCTGAGGTGTTCTGAGAAGCCGTATGTGTGGCGAAGGCACGTGTGAGTGACAAGGCCTCACAGCCATCCAATCGGTCCTAGGGAGAACAAAGGCGTATTCCGGCCTATTATGCACGCCTTGTTCGATCGGTAGCCAACGGTCCACTCCGTACCTGCGATCAATGTCTCTCAGTGCCAATGTTTGTATTTAGGGATCTGGAAGTCACTCGAAGAGCGGAAATTAAAGGATGGACAATGCACTCTGCAGTCGCAGTCAGAGTCCTATGTGAAAGTTTTCAGAACAAAGGATGAGGACTGTGCATGGGCGCCGAGGAGTCACCTTGGTATGCTACATAACCCCTGTCCAATCCCTCACCATCCTCACCAGTAGCCCGTTCATCTTGATTTCAGAGCATTAGCGTAGTCCCGCTCCTGACGTCCCAAGGTTGACGCCACTCAAGCTACGCGATTTTGAACTCAGAGAGGGGACACCCACTTAACAGTATCCACCATCGCGCCCTTCTTTCCGATCACACTTCGCAAACCTCGACATGCAACATTACTTCTCGTACAACCCGACACGAGTCGTCGAAGGAACCCCTTCCGCCTCCCCCCATCTTCCCGACCCAGCAGCCTCCATCGACATCTGCACGCCTCTCTTTCCTGAGGACACGATGTATTTCCAAACTGTTCGTGGACCATACACTCATCGTGGATTCTATTCGTTTATGAGTGGCTGCGAAGCCGTGGTACCCACAATGGTCGAGCATCAGGTGAGCAGACCGCATAGGTACAGGCTAGAAAGAGACTTACACACGCACCTTAGAACTTCTTGAACAACATGACTGTTCCAATGGAAACACTTCACGGGATGGACTCTGTAGAGATGTCCAACGACATATCAAGGATCAACATGGGTTCGTGGCCAGGCCCTTCGCGGGGTCATCCAAGAACAGACGTCGCAATCGCTGGAGAGCCTCTCGCCTTGGACTCAGATCCGTTCTCTCACATCGATTCATATATCCTTGAGCTGATGGCCAAGAATTCTGGGATAAGCTATGACGACGGGCTGTCGTCACACTCCACACTATCTGGCGTGTCAAGCGCACAGATGCCTGACCTACATATTGTAGGGCAGAACACCTATAACACCAAACACATCAACAGCATCAGCGAGGACGCCACAGAATCGGAGGGGCATGCTGGGGTATCTGTCCTCGCCGAATCATCCACGGGCCCCGCTTACTGGCTTGCACGGCCACGTGCACCCACGAAGGCAAAGAAGGAAAGGAAGGAACCACAACGTCCCCGCGCACCGGCAATCAAGGCAGCACGATCTCAAGTGATGTCGAAGGGGACGCTCCGATGCGAAATGTGTGATCGCGACAAAGACACAGGATCGGAAGACTACGCACACCAAGCGTCTTTGAACCGGCACATACGGACATCACATCTCGACCGGTCACGATGGCAGTGCACCTTGTGTGACAAGTCAATGGTCAGGAGCGACGCACTGGGCCGGCATCTCAAAAGGCAGCACCACATGCCCGAGGCGGACGCGAAAGCGGTCGTCGCACATGTTGCTGCTAGCAAGTATCTCACCGACTGATCGCTCACTTTTCCCGGGTAGTCGTGCTCTCTCCCTCTCGCCTTGCCCTTCGCATATCCTGTCTTCATATTGACGTAGTACTCTCCTGGTCGTATTTGTGATTGCCTTGTATTTATGATTCGACGCCTATATGATTATCGATGCATATGTGTTTTTTGATGATTGTATGAGATAGTGTGAGCTGCATGCTTACGGACTGCTTGTGCTCACAGCTGACTAGTCGTCTGCTTGTCTACCTGTGAAGACCTCGATGACGATCGATATACGACATTTTTGTCACGTACTTGCGTCGCTGACTACCATCATTCCTTGAGGCGTTACTAGGGTGGATGTGCGTCTAATCGTCAAGATGGGAGAGCAGCATAAGAATCGGCGTAGCGTGAGTCTGCGCAACGGTGAAGAATGTGATGAGCCGTCGGCATTTGCCGTGGTCCTATCTCATACGGCGAGCGCACTTACGTCATGATTCGCTGCTGGTCCCTAGACAACGCGAACATAGCCTTCGACTTACAGGTCGATCTTCTACAGCTGGGGTCCCATCTACGAGCTCGCTGTATATCTGTTATCAGCCTTACTTCGAATCTGTCGCACCATTTTGGATATGCCTGAACAAACTCCCGACTCCCACGGACATACTCTTCCCTCCTTTCCTTCCTTCCTTCCTGTACGTACTATCTTCGGTCACACCGGACGATGATGTATTGGTATCAAGAATGCGAACCCACTGTCCAGCTTTGGATCGATCTTAGGCTCTGTTCAACCCACTCCTCCTGGCTAGCTAACGAAAGTATAAAAAGCGCTACAGAAAAAGAAAAAGAAAACGCAACATGTTGCAAATTGGATGTCTCGGTTTTGGGTCGTCTGGTCTCGTTTCTGACTCTGCCTCTATCGTCTTTGGGAATACATCCATCACTGCTGTACAATCTACCTCGGATCGGCCGCATCTCTGGCTCTGACTACGATCCGGCTCACTGATGCATTGACACTGGCCCCGTTCCCTCGGTTGGTCTTGGAATCAACAACGCTCGACTTTTAGGACTGGTCAAACACTCATGTATGGTTCGTTCTCACTACTACTCATCACGCATTGCTGGTATTTGAAGTACATCAAGTTCAGCGCGCTGATGACAATCCCCATGCCCGTCCTCGCGAATATAAGTCACTGGCCATCTTTCGTATTGTCTCAGGAATTCAATCTTCCGCATACTTTGTGGCTGTCGCATCATGCAAGATATCTGTCGATGGATCTTGGGCGTGAACTGTCTTATTCCACCAGTCTGACCAGAGTCTCACGGCAGGGTATGCCATGTGTACTTTCATGCTTCGAACGTGAGCTCTGTATCATCAGGGATAATGCAAGCATTAGTGCTGACGGGAAGGAGCTCTGATCGCAGGTGTGAACTGAATTGGTGGCAACCGATTGTGACGATTAAATTACAGGGAGTTTTAATATGCCATGACGAAACTCTGCTCTCTTCATGCAGATCAGTCGACGCTGTATGTGCTCCGCTCGGGCGTACGTCCTTCTGCATTGACTTTGTTCCTTTGTGTGAGCGGGTGCGCGCAACTCTCCTTCAATGCCATTCTACTTACGGACTACGCGTTGCATCTTATCCAACAGCAATGTCGCAATGTTATTTTTCGGCGTCAGCGATACTTTTGGGGACGTTATTGACTATGAACTGCTCCAGGGCTCAGCCTCACGGAAGCCTCGCGAGTGCCACAGGATCGGTTGCCCCTCACGCTACTGATGTGTGATATTATCCACTCCACTAACGAGACTTGTCCAATTGCTATCCTGACCTACTCTCCAGGAGCGCAGGACAGTGTCTGTTTGCTTGTATTTTGAGAGGGATTGGTGTCTGCAGCGCAGCCTCCAGAATGTGTACGACGTATGAGTGCAAATACAGAACATGGCCATCATGGTGAGGACTGTGTTACTAGATTGTCGCTGGAGCATTTCCTCATCACATTCCAGATAAAGCACCACGAGTATAATCCACGTATCTATTGTGTAGGGGCAGAGCGTAAATGTACACACTGTCCATGATACAAACCTTGCATGCATTCGCTAAAGTACTAGGCTCATGCCCTCACAGATGGAATAGTTCCGAAGCCCGCCGTAGAACGAGTAACATCGTCAAAGATAACTGTCTGCAATGCTTTGTGAGTGCATTACAGGCCTTCGCCACAATTTTCATCAAACACCGTGGGAACTCTTCGTCACAGACATAACGCTCGTCTCTCCTTCCCTCTCCTTCCCTCTCCTTCCCTCTCCTTCCCTCACTCCTCCCTTCTCGCGCTCTCCCCTTCTCTCCCTCTTTGACACATTTCTCCTACCTCGCAAAAATGACTGCATCTGGATCGACTGATTTATTCATATTCCCCAGGTCATCAACGCACCGAGCACTCGTGGTCGCGGAGATCATGGTAAATATTTGCCTCTTTGTCCGAGAGGCAGACGTTAAATGGCTTGCGATACTCGCTCGGACATGTCGTGCGCTCCGCGCACCTGCTATTGAAATCCTATGAGGGCGCCTCAAAAACCTCATACCAATATTCAGGTTGTTGCCCTCCGACGCATGGACGTTCGATGTCGACACATGGACCTCAAGCCGTATCTATGTGCGTGCTCTGCTTCTGTCAGCCAATGAGTAATACTGACATAGCCCCTGTCCACCAGAAGCTGGAGCGTGACCTCGTTGCTGAGGACTTCAAAGTCATTGAAAGATATGCGCCGCTCGTGAAGATCATCGGCTTCAGGCGGGGCGGCAAAGGCAGTCCCCGCTACGAATCCGATGTCCTTCATACAGGACCTACGAAAATCATGACGCAATGTTCTCCTCAGCCTCTCCTATTCCCGGCTCTTCATACCTTGGACTGGCCACACACCCTATCTACTCGTTTTCAAGGCCCTCACGCTGGATACAAGGGCTTTTGGGCTTGTGCGGGTCTATACATCAGTCCTAAATTCAAGAAGATCGTCATAGACTTCTCCATCCTTCCTTCGCATGTCCCACAAAGTCTCAGAACTCTCCACTTTCGTGAGGAGGATTGGCGCAGAATGCCCGCAAATCACTGAGATGGATATCGATGTCACTACATGGGGAAATGACAGACCTCACCCTTCAACCATAGAATGGTCCTCCTCGCTGGCCTGCCGACTTGCACAGTTCCAGGTACTTCGTTGTGGCAACATTCCTCTGCACGGGACTGCACTGGCTCATTTAGGCTGTTCGTCCGCTCTGAAAGAACTATGCGTACTTCTGACTCGCGACACTGTCGACTCCTGGACATCAATGTCTCTCAAATCTAGAGGTCAAGCACGCTTCGTGACACTCCGAAAATTAGACATCCGGACACAAGACCTGACAGCGTTCAATGATCTAGCGAATGGCAAATTTATGTTTCCACAAGTGGAGACATTCAGCATTGACTGCTCCTCGTTCCCATCTGCATCTGAGGTCGATGCATTCATCAACGCTCTACAGGATCTGTTCTCGCCTTCGCGACTCCAGTGTCTATCTATGGAGACAAGTCCCTGGGAAGATCAATGGCGCAGCAACACTATCTCGTCTTGTGGTGGTACTCTGCGGCGCGACCACCTGCGCAAACTTCTTGCTTTCCGCAAAGTACAGACAATCATATTACAGGCACAGCTGGAGGTTGATCTCGACGACGACATAGCGGAGGAAATGTCAGCAGCGTGGCCACAGATAGAGACATTGAGCATCTCACCTCAATGCAAGCTTTGGAACAAAGACGAGATAACGGCGACCTTGCGTTCTTTGCAATCATTTACCACCAATTGTCCACGCCTGATTCATTTGGACATACCGTTTCGCGCAGACGGTGCCAATATCCACCTCCTGTCACCACGTACTCCACAGAATCGCGCTCTTGAACGTCTCGACCTGAAATGGGTACTCATCGACGAACATGTCTCCGAGGTCGCAACGCTGTTGGGAAAAATTCTTCCTAATCTTAAGATTGACATGAATATCTCCGGCAACTATGAGCAATTCAATCGGTGGCTTGCAGTCAAGAACGAGCTCAAGTCGACACTAAAAGGACCTACAGAAGACGAAGCGGATACTCCATCCGAAGCCTAGAGCTGGCTACGCTGAGCCATTGGACAAGGAATTGTTGGGTTTAGAGCGCTGATGGCAGGCGACCAGCGCCGCGCTGAACCAGAATTCCATTGACGCAAGTGTTGGCGGTATTCGTGGTGAAGTAATCGGTCGTCTGACGACGGCTATATTCAGCAGGCAAATCAGATCCATGGATGCGAACCCGCGCTCTTGAGCAGCCTCGCACAGTGGCCATCCGGACATAAGGATACATTCACACGTCGGAAATCATCTCCTCACTATGTCACAATCAGCCACATCGACCTTCCTCTCCTATTTGATCAGTCATTCAAGCTCGCCTGAACTTCTAGAGGAAAAGGACTGACAACGTCGTGAACTGCGCTCAGGACACGCGCCCCTTTCTCACCTAGGCAAAGCTGAGTCGGCGCTATGCTCTACATGCGACACTAGCAGAGAGGCAGTCCTACGCTATATTCTCGAGCACTCAACTGCGACGCGCCTTCCTCCATCGCACCTGCAAGCGCGATTGTTGCTTAGAGACCCCGAAGCCCTTTGTCGCCTTCTATACCTCAAGGGAGTCTCGCAATCTGGCGCTGTACCCTGCTCGGACATGTCCCGATCCCCAATGAAACCGGCTCTTTGGTCACCATGCCCGCTTGTTAAACGTGCTCATAAGCTCACCAAGGATCTCGCCTCCTCGGCCTGATGTCAATACCAAGCTCGCCCGTCCAGGACATTGCTATCACCAAAATCTCTGTACGGGTGCCCGGGAACTTCGCACTGCTGAGACCCCCGCAAAGGTCACTGTTGCTCACGTCCAGAAGAGCGCAAGTTTCTTAGCCCGTTCAGGCATATTCGGCAAACCGTTGAGCATCTCGTCATACTCGATCTCCGGGAAATGCTGGACGTCTACCATATTCATTGCGTAACAAGGATCACGATACATGAATAGATTGTGGGCCTCAGCTGCATCGATTGCTCATCTGGAGTTTCTGAGCACGCGGTGACGCATCTCACATAATTACTAGCCAACGTATGGCGGTAGAGGAAGGTCGAAGCGGCGTTCTGAGACATGGGTGATGAACAGAGAACGTGTCGCGAACTGAGGATTCGTGTGCAGCGTCTGAGTTGGGTTGGACCTACGGCCGACTGGCTGGTATGTAACGTTGATGTCCTCAAACGATTATAAGACTGGATAAACCAATGTTGATATGACTTGTTTGGACGAAGACCCGGGGTTTCAATGAGTCTCACCCAAGAGACGTCGCATGAGTGAGCCGCGTAACAGGTTATTTGACGAGATTCACAAAAGCCATGTGTCGACAAGAGAAGGAGAGAAGACGATGGCAAGTGCTGTGGCAAATACGGCTGGGACGGCCTTCCTACAGCGGTTGAGGAACCTGAAATGAGCGACTTAGGGCTCAGGTGCTTGGGCTTCCGCATCCGTGTCTCCATTGTGCCTTGTGGCCGACACCTGAACGAGCTCCACGACCCAACGTGTCCCCGACATCCTACCACCAGCCGCATGGGATTATATATATTGACTTCAATATCTGCTACGACACGATACTTGAACCTGCCTTGAAATGCTCCTCATAAATTGTGTGCTAGCACAAATGAATCAATATCAAATGATATTAATCTGGCCAAGTATGTCAGAGCATCCTCAGGGAACAGGGCTCATGAGCTTCCTAAAGCCATATTTACAATGCGATGAGATGCGCATAAGCGAAGGCGCGTGCGAGTGACGAGAGTGTCCAGCCGTCCAATCGGCCCAATGAGAACAAAGGCACATCGTGGCCTATTATGTCCACCTTGTTCGATCGTTAGGCAACGGTTCCAACCGCGTCTGCGATCAACGCCTCTCGCCATCAGCTTCGATGCTTACATTCTCTCTGAGGGTCCGGAACTCACATCGAAGAGCGGAAATGAACGATTGCACGTTGTACACTCCGGTGTCATTCAGGACTGGGTGTGAAGGTTTTCAGAACAAAGGACGGAGACTTCGCATGAGCGCCGAGGACGCACCGTAGTCTTCAATATAAATTGCATCCTGCCCGACTCCATCCCTCACTAACAACTCTCTCATCGCATCCCAACAAAGCCTGCGAGCTGTCGCTCCTGCTTAGGTGAGCTCTATCTCGACTAGCCCGCACCGAGCTCCGAGAGCTAACCACAAAGTTGACAGTATCACCAATTGTATCGCAACTTGTAGATCACGCTATGTCATCTCCATATTTCTACGCCCCGATGCCTGGCGACACAGCGACCAACTACTTATTGTTATCCAACGCGGAGACAGACAAAAGGATCTACCCGCACTTCGTCCTCGAGAACGTTGCGTATCGTCAGCAGGCAACCGGCAGTGCTTCATACAACGGTCATGGCCTTGCCAAGTCTATGGACAGCTTCGAGCCTGAGGTACGACAGAGATCTGTACACGAGGTGAGTTCATTGCATAAGCGTTGCCACTTAAAAACTGACGAGCACCTCCCAGGATCTCTCATCCAATGGCATTGCTCCTGTGGAGGCGGCGTGCGGATCACACTCTGTACAGACACCCCACAATATGCCAACGATAGAGATGTTTTCGTGGCCCGCCCACTCTCAGTCTTATGTAAAGACAAGCCCCACCATCAATGAGGGGGCTTGTACCACCTTGGGTCCTGATCCTTTCGCCCACATCGACCTATCCATCCTGGAGATGATAGCCTCGGGCTCTGGGATAAACGATTGCGATGAGGAACCCTCGCGCTTCACATCTACGGGTGTGTCAAGCGCACAGACCCCTGACCTACAGTATGTAGGGCAGGAAGTCTGCAACACTCAACACATCAACAGCATCAGCGAGGACGCCACAGAATCGGAGGGACACGTTGGGGTATCTCTCCTTGCCGAATCCACGGCCCCTGCTTACCGACTCGCGCAGCCACGCGCACCTGCGAGAGGAAGGAAGGCAAGGAAAACACCACGGCGGCCCCGAGCACCTGCCGTTAAGGCAACGCGGCCCCAAGCGACGTCGAAGGGGACGCTCCGATGCGAAATGTGCGATCGCGACAAAGACACAGGGTCGGAAGACTACGCACACCAAGCGTCCTTGAACCGGCACATACGGACATCACATCTCGACCGGTCACGATGGCAGTGCACCTTGTGTGACAAGTCAATGGTCAGGAGCGACGCACTGGGCCGGCATCTCAAAAGGCAGCACCACATGCCCGAGGCGGACGCGAAAGCGGTCGTCGCACATGTTGCTGCTAGCAAGTATCTCACCGACTGATCGCTCACTTTTCCCGGGTAGTCGTGCTCTCTCCCTCTCGCCTTGCCCTTCGCATATCCTGTCTTCATATTGACGTAGTACTCTCCTGGTCGTATTTGTGATTGCTTTGTATTTATGATTCGACGCCTATATAACTATGAGTGCATATGCGCTGTGATTTTGGATTTTTGGGTGAGATAATGTGAGTTGCATGCTTACCAACTACTCGTGTGCTCACAAACGACTATTGTCCGCTTATGACCAGTAATGATGAATCTTGATCAAGACACGATGCCGCATCGCATACGTGTGTGACAGGCCATCGTCATTCCTTGGATTGCTACTGGTAGGCGTGGCCCGATCGTCAAGAGGAAAGAGCTACATAGCATGGCATTGGTCCCAGTGATGACGGTGAAGAGTGGGATGAGTCACCGGCATTTGCCGTAATCTCAGACTGAGCTACATACACGGTACTAATACGCCGGGTTTTGATGCACAAACGGGTACTATAATTCCGCCAGCCCACTCGGTGCTACAGGATCCAAGTTATCAATCTATTGCGTCGTAAGGCCGGAGTCGTGGTTGTGGAGCGGCGAACGTACTAGTAGTTGTTTAGGGCTCCTGCTCTATTGGAAGTCTCGAGTAGGACTCGGTACCTTCTGAGCTGCTTCACCGCCTTCACAAAGCATTACACCTCCAGCAACTTGATTAATTAGATGATGCACGGAGATCGCGTCTTTGTATGTGTTGATATACGCTAAGTCGGATCGGCTGTCAGGACGCTGGTTGCGACGCGTCGTTCGACGCGATCACGTGACACGTGTCGACGCGTTGTTGAACGGTCACGCGTTACGCCCAAGTCGAAATACCAGACCCACTCTCTTTCATCTATCACTATTCAACGCCTGCATCTCCTAATTCTCCTAATTATTGCTACTTTAATCTTCCTATAGTCTCTTCGACATACAACATGGGTCCCGGCAGCGGGATCCGTAATAGAGCGCGCGGCAAGGGCAAGTCGGTTGCTCCGCTGGTCATTCAACTCCGTCGCCAGGCAGCCCATGGGGAATTGAGAATCGAGAGGCCGCGGGCTCAGAGGAAGGAGGCCGAGGATGAGCCACTGTATCCGTTCCTCGCACTGCGCGGGGCTGCGAAAGCGGCGGCTGCGGCCAGTGAGGCAGACGCTCTCCCTCCGCGGACACCTGCAGGGACACGGAGGTTGGAGGTCGAGGTCGTCCGGACACTGTCGACTATGAATGGGCGGCACAAGGCACTGCGGAGGAAGACGCGACACGAGATTGGAAGGCAAGAGGAGCACCAGTACGATGAACAGGCGTGGCGGAGGTGCGCCTGGGATGAGCAAGAGTCAGAGCAGACGGATGAACGCGAGGGAACGGGATCGGTGAGTCTGAGAGGGCCTTCTATGGTTCTTGCACACTGAAGAGCTCGACGACGGTAAAGGTGGTACCTGTGCAAGGATGCAGTGTCAAGGTCAAGCACTCTGCGTCTGGAGCTAGTCGCAGTCGGCGAGGATGGCGGAAGCTGCTCGGGCTGGTGGAGGGCGATATGAAGCGAGTGCCAAAGAGCTCTGTGACCAAGTTGAAGGGTGTTCGCGTGAAGCCCAAGTCTGCATCCAAGGCCATGCGGTCCGTCACAGCAGCAGAAGTCGAGCACCAGTCGATGGTTCCTCAGCACAACGAAGAGCGTGTCCCGGTGGACGTCGCCCCGGCCTTCCCTGCCGACGAGATTGAGCACCCCGTCGCACCGGTCGGTACATCACTTGAGCACTCCACCGCTGCTTCTGTGGTCGAGGTCGAACCTGTGCAAGCAGCGATGGCCGTAGAAGGGGAGCCGCACGAACGGGGCCTGCGATTGGAGGATTTTGCCTTTGACTTTGGCTCGTGTCCAGGGATGCCAGCTGAACTCGTCGCAGCTCTGAACATGCCTTCGCACGTCTTCACGGTGACAGAGGCGCAAGAGGTGCCTGCAACGGAAGGCCAGATTACAGAGGCTACAGTCATGGCCGTCGATGCGGAGATACTCTCACCAGAGCCGACTCGCGACACGTACGACACTTTCGTTGTGGATATGGATACTATCCACGCCGAGGCCTCGTCCAGCGCAGAGGAGGCGATGGAGGACGTGTACACCACTGACGACGTGCTGGTCGAGATGGCGTCTCCCGTTGTATGTTCTACAGACCCAGCTCCTGTTGACGAGGACAGCGATATGCTGCATGCAGAGGAAGAGGCTGTGGAGATGGAGATGGACGGCTTTGAGAGCGTGGCAGCTCCGCAGGCACTGCTTGCTCAGATCGAGATGGTATGTGACGCGAACGAGGTAAGGCGGTGACGCTTTTATGTGCAAGCAGGGTCTGACGACAGACTGTTTGCGTTCAAGTCTACTCAGATTGCGGCCAACCCATCTACCAATGCAGGGCCAGCTGGAGGCCCGGTCGCGTTGATCTCCGCAGCGATTGATATGGCGCAGCCTGAAGAAGACATCGAGATGGGGCACCAGGAGCAGCCTGTGATGGTGGAGGAAAACATCAAGATGGGTGTCCAGCTGGTGTCTGTGGACGCGGTCTTCGGTGCGGTCGCAGCAGCACTGATCGCAGCAGAAGATGGAGGCGGCAACATCGAGCAAGACATCGATGCAGTGCTAGACCACTTTGGGTTTGTGCAGGAGTGCACTGTCGCTCACCTCGACCAGGAGGACGCATCTGTGGGGGACATCACACTCGTTGGTGGCGCACTTGACGAAGACCACAACGCGACGTCTGATCAGGATTGGGACACGACGTTCGTGGAGGACGCTATTGCATCTTCGTCGCCGAAGACGGAGAAGCAGAGTAGGCTTCCTGCAATGCCACTCCCGGAGGTCGTGGTGTCTGGGTCGGATCTCGGCGAGCAGGTTGTCGTCGCTGGACTGGAGCACGTCTCCATCCCGCCCACCTCGTCCGCGCCTGTTATCAGCCTGCAGACCCTTTTGGATGTCATTGCTCCCCACCCCGAGCTGCCCGACCGTCTCCTCGAGGGCCCAGTTCAGACCGCTGGGCCGACGTTCGACATGCAATCGCTATACTCGACACTCCCTACGAACACCACTGAAGACGCAGAGAAGACGACGAACGCAGGTAATTCAGGACTGTTCAGTGCTTTTCAAGACGATTTCTCTGACGATGATTTCACTCCGAACATGGGTACGAGCGCAACCGGTTATGCTGTGTGATGTACGCCACTGACTATCGCATGCTTGATGGCAGGTTCATTCTCTAGAGCGACGAGAAGCGGCAAGGTGTATGGCGGCGGCATCAGCAAGGCCAAGAAGACTGTCGCCCAGCCGGCGCGCAAGTGCACGTCTAGTTTGTCGAGTGGGCTACTGGATAACGACGCGTTCAGGGCGGTGCGCAACAAGAGTGCGGCAGAGCAGAAGGCGCGGAAGGACACACGCAAGCGATACAAGAAGATATCGCGGAAGCTTGCACGACAGGACGCGGAGAGCGCGGAACCCAAGGGAGGCTGTGGACGATTCCGGCTATCAGCTGTGTACGTGTCGATATCGTGTGTTCACACTCTCGTGCTCACGCTGTGACGGACAGGAATCCAAAGACCGGACGGCGCGAGAAGATGACGCCGATCACCACGATCAAGGAGAGCACCGACGACGACCTCGACGTTGACGTGCTATGTCGCATGTCGTCGAGTCTGTCGTTGACGACGTCGCCCCATGGGCGCACCGGTACTCAAGAGGCGACGGATTGTGCGGACGACCTGCTGGGTGCGTTTGCATCGTTTGGGCTCTCGACGGACGCTCCCGTGGCATCGTCGACAGGCGGCTCGGCGCTAGACGATCTGTGCGACCTCTTCAATGCGCTGGTCTGAGACTGTTTTTGGCGTGAACTCCAGACACAATTTCTAGTGATCTACCTCAACATGAATCTACAATGCGTCAAGACTCGGATCCATCTACGCCTGTCTTGGTTTTCTCATTCTGGGCTCCGTTTCTCGTATTCTCGGCCTCAATCTTTCACAAGCGTCTTTTCTTGGCTCCCGCCATGGTCTTCTCTCTCGCCTGCACGAGTCTCGGATTCCTCTACTTTTATTTCCTCGAGCTTGGATCTTTCTATGGCTTGGAATCGTCTCGATAACTCATCCTGGGCTTCATCTCATATTCTCGACTCGGTCTCATGAACATCTCGGCATCGACATCGATTTGTCAGAATAGTCTTTTCTGGGTTTATGCCTTGGTCTTCTCGCGCACTGGCCGACCTTTTCTCACTACTGGATCGCTACACAACAATTTCGAAGACTACGAAACAACATGAGCTGGCGGCGACAAGAGGCGAATCGTATCTTAGGCTTAGTCTGACTCACTCTCTCTGGCTCACGAACATACACAAAACACAAAAAAAGAAGATAATGAAGAAACGCGACAAAAACAGAAGAAAAGACAAAATCCTGCAAATTGACTGTCTCGGTTTCTCGTCATCTCGTTTCGCTTCGTTTCTGGATTTGCCTCTATTGTCGTTGGATATGCACAAACTACCTTGGAGCGGCCGCATCCTCTGGCTCTAGTCACGATCTGGCTCACTCAAGCGTCGACATCGGCCTCGTCCGCTCGGTCGGTGCTGACATCGGTAGCGCCCGACTTCTTGGGTCGATCGAACATTCAAGTGTCGTTACGTCTGTTACTCGTCTCACACTGCTGGATCTCAAAGTCTATCCAGCTTGACGCGCACCACGCGTGTCCTCGCGAAGAACAGAAGTCACTGACCATCTTCCGTATTGGTCTAGGAACTGTCTCCGTTCGCATCCTCTGTGGCTGTCGCGTTATACAAGATGCCTGTCCATCCGTATCTCGGACGTAAACAGTCTCGTTCTGTCAGGGCCATTTCTCCCGTCGGTGAGTTGTCACTGTAAACTATCATCACGTCGTCTCATGGGTTCGATAGCATCGTGCAGACTTCTCGCGGCTTCCTACTTTCCGGCGACCGGTGTCACTACCAGCGTTCTAGCTCGTCACCGCCCGCTGACAAATCCGTCTTGTTTCCTCTCTGACGGCATCAGCTCCTCGTCAATACCCCTGGCCTTCGTCTGCTCACTCTGGACTGGTCATCGGATTTTCCTGGCGTACCGTTCTTCGTATGCCGCCGTATTCTCTAGTCCTTGGACATGAGTGCGAACAACCTCTCCTGGACTCGACGTGTAACTTCAGTCTGAAAACATTTCAATGGGCTGACTCTGACGATTCGTTCACGACAATAATGTTACAATTTCTGTGCGCTTTGGATCTCGGTCGCGCCGGTCGCGTCATCCATACCTCACGCGAAGATCACTCAAATTACACTACAGCCTCATGACTACTTGCCCTTCCTATGGCGTACTCCACTATCCTTTATCTGGGCGCAGTGCCACTTTCGCAGCTCCACGTTATTAGTCTGGCTATTGTTGCATACTGGGTGTTACCTTGTGGTCACGTCTTCCTCTCGGATACTTCCTCTCTATTCTCAGCTCATCATTGCCTTCTCGCCGCAACCTCAAAGCAGTTCTGCTCATTTGGTAGTTCCTCGCGACTGTTCACCACTAGTGCTATTCTAAGCTACTCTGTCGCGAGTTGTGGTTATACTCCCAAGCGTAAATGCGCCTCAAATTTCTCACCTCAGGACAAAGAATGTCTTCAAACTCTGAATCCGTCGCCATCTGGAGCTATCCGCGTCTTTGTTTCTGACCAAATATCGCCTTCTCGGTTCCGTCTTAATGCTCTCTCCTGCTCTCTTCGCCGACTGCTTGCTGTGATAATTGTTCTCTGCCTTTCATTCTCGCATCGTAACCATCCTTCCGGTCTTCAAAACTTCACACAGACTGAGGTCCTTCGCCCTTTCTACGCTCTACGATCCATCTCGCGGCCATTCTGTTGCTGTTCACACTCCTCCAACACACCCTATCCACTCTCGGCAACAATCTCCCCTTGCAATATTACTTCTGCTGCTCATACTAGGCTTCCATGCACTCGGACGTTTTCTGTCGTCGTACAGGGGATGCTGTGAGTGCTTTTGACCTGTTAGCTCATGGCCGTCGGGCTCACTGGGATCATTCTAGATATGCCTTCGATATCAACTCATTGTCTCGTCTGTGTCTCCCTCGGTTAGCGTCATTACTCACTAGCCACCCTCATGATTCGGTGTACTTCCACATATCTCCTACGCTAACATGACTATTCCGGCCTCTTACATTCCACTAATACTCGTTCGGACGACGCCTCGCCTGTTAGTCGCCAATGTCTGACGCAACATATGAATCCCCGCCTCACGTTCGGCCTCGCTATATCAGTGCTTGATCGCCACAAGACTTCTACTCCTCGACTGGAGCATGGCTATCCGGATTGTCGTCGCACTACAACTAGCGCATCCAACCGTCTATCTATCTGGACTGCGGCAACCCCGCCCGTCACAGTCTCACATTCGAGGCTCACTTCGTCGTCTCTCCTAGTCTTCGACATGGCCATACATTCTGTTCTATCACCCCAGTGCTTGTCACACCACTATCTGCTCCAGGATCTCCTACCCTTGCTCGGTTGCTCGACATCGCAGACATATGCACTACCTCAGTGCTCTATCTCCTTACGACTGCACAATCGCATCCTTCTTATCAAAGACAGTGCTTTATCTATTCATCGAGTCTACATCTATCCAACACTCTATCGTTCGCGGGCTAGGTTCGTTACTAGCGCGTGAACACATTCTGTGAGTGCTACCTCTGCGTCGCCCGACATTATTCTGACTCGTCGCGAACGACCCCAGCCTCTGGACATATCTCGAACGGGTTCCCTACATAACAAACTAGACTTCAAGTCGCACACCACAACTATCCCCATCGCTTTCTCATGGCTACTTGTGATACCGCAACGGTCGAAAGAACGTCACTACCCCGCTCGCCCGTACAGTGCTCTAGAATACTAGCTTCCGGCTGTCTTACTAATCTGACTAAGTGAGTATTCGCTCCGCTCGCCAGCATTTCTTATACTGACTCGACGCGGCTCAGTCATCAGAACTCATCGCTCTTCGATACGTATGAGCAGATTCTTCTATCAACATAGTACTATTGGAGAACACGCTCATCCCTTACACGCCTATTAAGCATCCTTTCGAAATGGCTCGCAGGACTACTCGATCGCAAACCATTATGCCGTCTCTTCGATCTATAATCTGGACCCACCGCCCTACAACCTGACCAGGCGGGAGTTCGCGACGCGTTACTGTCTCTATTCTCCAAGCGCCACAATCTGAGATACAATATAGCCCCGCTTGGTGCTAAGCCTCTATTTAATTTTGTCATTCGTACGCACAGAAATATACGAACTATACCAGTGTAAAGTAACTATCTCATTTAATACGAAGGCTTGATGAGTTTGACACTGTTTGCCCAGATGTGGGATTTCGTAACGCTTGGCGCCTTCTGATTGTCAATTATAAGTTGCTCCATGCCTTCTGTAGACGACCCCAGAATTTAGAGACTGAGTACAGCAAATACCGGGATCGGGGTGATTGAAGCGTTACAACCGGACCAGACTTTCCACCCGACTACGTACGATACATTACATGTGGTCTCGTCGTATTCACTGGAAGAAATATATGCATCGCTATCGCTATAAAGTTTGTATTCTGTCGCGTTTTACGAGTGCACATTTATATCTCCGAAATATAACCGGTTGGCGAAAGCGACCTCCGGGGGATGCCGAGACGCTACATCTAAGATTCCAAAGTTAGACGAGACAAAGGACAAAGGCTGCAACTCGAACCTCTATCCTCACCTTCAGTTGAACATGCCATTCTGTCGCTCGGGCATACACCGCGCCACTCGTTCAAATCTCTGTTGAATAGAAGGTCACCTCGCTGTCAATCAGTTCTTCCTGTTCCTCAGAGCAGAACGTCATCGCATCGCTGGTCCAAGCGTCTCTGTGTTCCGCTCATTCATGCCCCATTATCAGTCTCGGAAACTCGTGATTGGTTGCTGCGTCAGGCTATCGGAAAACGCGTGAGCACGCAGTCCACACTTGCTGAAGAGACACATCATATATTGTGGCATAGGCCACGAAGACAGAAGCTATAGACATAGGCACATGATGAGCAGGCACAATGGTCAAGGCAGTCGTACGTGAATGGAGGCAAGAATTTGCGAAAGAGAAAGGAAATCAGCAGAAAAAGTGGAGAGGAATAAAACGATGCGAGGCTAGTGGTCATCGGCCGGTGCAGGTGAGCCTTCGTTCTCACCCGCGTCCCTCTCCGACAGCCTTTCTTTGGCCCACTCTACTGCATCCGTGTACGACATTCCGTGCTGGCTGTGACAATGCCTCCCGCGCGAGTCGGTGCGTGAGTACATTTTGAGACAGATCGGGCATTGCCACTCCTGCTGCTTGCCCTTGGTGCAGCCTGTTGTCATGTGGCGGTCGCGCACACCGCTGCGCGAGAACCATGCATGGCAGTCGCTGCACTGATAATTCCGTGCAACGGGCGTCCAAGTCCTCGGCTTCCTGACGACGTGGGGTTGCCGGAACCTGGTGCGGGCCTTCTTGGAACGAGGATGACGTGTGTCCGGAGCGGGGGTAGCGGTGTAGCCGTAGCCGTTGTTGGTGTAATCAATGTAATCTGTGGTCTGCCCTACGTACGGTAGGCCAGACATGGGTGCGTTGGTTACGCCGTAAGGCGCAACGTGGGGCCCGTGAATGGCGAGACCGTGGTTGAATCCCATCGGATACCAATACATCGGCATGCTAGGAGCAATTGCCCCCTCGATGTAGGGGCGCTGGTAAACGTCAGGCACGCTGAAGTAGGGTGCGGCGGCGGGATACGTTGGCCATGGGTATTCGATGAATGACGTGGACTGGTATATGGGCTCTACAATGTGAGAGCTGCTCGCCGGGGATCTGGATGGGGTCCCCGTAGAACCGACCCCTGAAATCCCGCTTTCGAAGCTGGGAACGTCTAGAAGCTATGTCGGACGTCAGATGTGGTTTACAGAGTGGCGGGGATACAACATACCTCTTGCAAGTTAAGAGGTGGAAGGTCCCAATCGTTCTCCTGAATGATGGCTTGGAAATCAGGGACAACAGGCGAGTCCTTTGCGTTTAGAGGCTCGTCGACCTTTGCGACCTCCACTAGCGTTGGCGAGGAGAATGACCACCGGTCGGTACTCGTGGACGCCATTTCCTCGAGCTTGTCGCAGAATTCCAAGAACGGGTCGGAGGCCATTGCGGAGGGAACAGAGGCGATGTAGTGGGTGGGCTGTGGAAAACATAACTGAGGTCAGGGTGGAACTCACGATGTGGTTGTCTGACTCACGTAGAAATTGGTTGGTCTATGGAGCTGTAAGTCGCTGCTGAGTGCGAAGATGGTCTGAAGAGCAAGAAAGGAACCGCTTATATATGACTTCTGCGATGCCTCTGGTCCAGCTATAGATACGTCGAACACCGGGCATGTTCGCATTGTCCTTGCGAAGGTGAGCCTCCGGATCTTCCGAACAATGCACTTCTGAATGACGAAAGGCAGACCGGAGAAGCAGGACCAGTCGAAAGCATGCGAAATGAAATGCGATCGAGTGGCAAATGTAGCGACAGGCCTTTGTTCTCGGTGCGGCGATCAGAGGACGGTGACACTCCACAGTTCTCACACCAATGCAACGTTGTCCAGAGCGAACACACCTGTCTTCCGCCGTTCTCGAGCTCAGTAGATCCCACGGTCTGGCATCAGGTGCAAGAAGGCGTCGCAGGCCCGTTCATGGTGCGTGACCCTATGACCACGCGAGGAAACGAGTTTCCTGAACCGTCTTGCATTCAGCGTCTCTTCGAACGTGGAAAAGTACGACGGTCCTTAGGAAGGGTGAGATCGACTGTGACAAGGGTTCAGTTGCCACCTTCCCAGGATTACCTCTTCACTCCATTGTGCGCCACTCCTGCCTGAACACCTCATGCAGCGTGACAACCTTCTCTGGCCAACACGCGGCTCGAGCCTCTGTACGTACTTCGCGATGCAGATCTGTGGCTGAATGCTATCGTAATCTGCTCACACACTGGAGCTGTCAGGAGCACCAACGATTCGCGCCCTCAACGTCAGTGATAGAATTTGGGGATGGACAAACGGAACTCACCCTTGATGTGGTGCAAACTGCTGGTGTTTCGACGCGGGACCAGAGATATTACGGAGGGTAGACAGCTCTGCAGCATTGTAGGTCTCGCTGACAATCAGGTATAGGGTATTGGTCTCACATGCGCTTTGTTATATGCGAATTCGTGTTCGCATCGTCGGCGTGGGTTTTGAGCTGTGCCCGAAACTGGTGCAATTCACCGGAGAGGGGGTCCTCCATGTGCCGTTTGAATAGAGGTTTTCCCGCAAAATCTGCCTACGCCGTATCTTGGATATCTGAAGCCTACAGCATCCGTGAGTTGCTTGTGGCGGAGGAGGTAGAGCAGCAGGCGTTGTATCCCTGATTTTCCGGCCGCGGTATAGTGTCCCCATCATGGTCGTGAGCTCTTATTCGCACTGTGGGCTGACTCGGCTGGGTCCGTGAGTCGAGTCCAGGTCGGCGCCGGTCGTGAGGGTGGAGACCTGCCCCCAGGGGTCGCTCACTTTTGATCTCTCAGCCCGTGGTTTGCTTACGCTTCTTCTACCACAACTCCGGCATCTATTCCAGGTGTAAGTCACTGAATTATGTTCTTTATGCGTCGGGAACCCCAAATGGCATAACGCCACTCACCACAGGTTCGGGCGCCAGATATAACCGCGCGGCAGCGGGTCCCCACGATCTGCAGCAACTCCCCACAGAGAGGTTCTGCACGATGGCATCCATACCTAGTCCACGAGGGAGAACGAGTGTCGTGGGGCGCATTATGGTGCTTTCCCTAATGTCAGGATCTGCTCATTGTGGCTGGCATTTTGATCGGTGTCACTGCCATCGAGGCGGACATTCTTGAGATTTATGGGAAACGTCGCGCGGGCTAAGTTCTGGATCAACGCCGACCACTTAGACTGGAGATCTCGTTCTCCTCGAGCGCTTCCTTGTTGAAGTCGTCGTCAACATCCTCATCTGGCCAATCGAAGCCGGTGAATGTCTTCTCCCATCTTTGAGCTCCGATATAAAGGTCAGGATAGTATAACCCTGCCTCTGGCTCCTGGCCCCGCGTCATAGAAGGGGAGATTGTCGTCAGTATACAGAAGGAATGTCCTGTATCCCTCCGAGTATCGATTCTCGATATCCAGGCGCTTGGGGGCTCGACACTAGTCTCATCATGGTCGTGATCGTCGAAATAGTACTCCCACTGCGATGGCTGAGCAGGGCAGCATGGTACAGACTCGGCGCTGTCATTGAGATCGTCCTTCTGCAGTAAGAGGTGTCAGTGAGTCGAAGATTCTCATCAGACACGATAGAATTGGATAGGTAACTTCTTCCAGGGATTGTATCAAACCTGTGTAACAGTGAAGCTGAAGTGGATGTGATAGTGCAATGTCTGCTCTGGTCAGATAATGAGGCTTCTGGTCCGCCGCAGACCGTCTCACGTAGAGTGCATTGTGAAGGTGGAGCAACATCGTCACCTCTGGGTTTCGGACATCGTCCCGAGAGCTTATGGCTCAATGCACGATGTGTACGACAAGCTCTCCAAGAAGAGATATGGTGGAGCTTACCGTAGGCGATGTGGCTGTCCTCTCGCAGCGGGCGGAATGGTGGTAATTCATATCCACTGTTTTGTCTGCACTGTCTAATGGCTTAAGTGATGAGTGTCAGCGAAAGGTGAATCATGACTAACAGTGAAGATATCGTCGACATCCATGCGATTCGCCCTGTGCTTCTCTTCTGAGCAAGGTGGGTTATGAGTACCGCTAGGGATTTGTAGCACATACAGATGGGAAGCTCATGTTTTATATACTGCACACCCTGCATCGCCACTCATTGCGTCGAGTGGTCTGAGGCCAAGCATCGTTTACATTGTGTAAATGCTGAGGGGCGGCTCCAATGCGCCGCTCAGAGAGACAATGAAGGACATCGGGGCTCTGTGCTCCTGGATGACAAGCTGCTCTATATAAAACTGCCTCGCGCTAGTGGTGATAAACCAGGTGCATTCATTGTCAACAGTCATCGGCGACAGCATTGCGGTTAATTCCGGGTCGTTACTGTGGCGAAGCTCTTGCTCTGATGTCAGATCGTGCGCCAGTGGCAGAGTCTAGCTGAGATCCCTGTGTTTACTTAGCAGCGCATTTTTCTTTCCTAAGGAGGCTCTTGCTTGGTTGCTGCTCAAAGCGTTCACCTTTTTTATTCGGCTCCTGTAGTGACCTAGCATTGATCGATCGTCTGATGGTGCACGACCAGCGATTACGACTCGGACTCTGGTATGTCTTGGTAGATGTCGCAGCATACTGCGATCCCCGTTCGCAAGGAGAGGGGTGGCTAGGCTGCCCGAAAACTCAGCGTCTGTCCCATTGGCGTACCGTCCATTCTCCGCTCTTTGAGTTTGTCAGTCAGTCGCTGATTTTCTCACGCGTCTACGTCTGCATGATTCCATCATCTCAACGCGCACACACAGCTAACATCCTGCTCTGCCGGTTGCTGCCTGCTAGTATACCCCTATCCGTATTCGCTTGGAGGTCTATGCCTGTTCGTCAGCATCCCCCACAGCAAGTCAACGTTTGTGCAGCGTGAGACATATGCGGGAGCCGCGGCGAGGACACCAGGGAGGCCGTGATATTGGACAATCCCCACTGCGGCCAAGGCACTTGCTGTCTGTGGTGCTGGAAATACAGATTGAAGGTCGTCGCAATCGCGTAGAGTGTGTTTAGCGTTGCGGTAGCTACAAGCTTTTCATGTGTCCCTTGTGCCGCTTGCGGAGCCTCTGACGTGCCTTGATGGCGATTGCAATGATTGAACATCAATCCCCAATGCGGAAAGCTCGTCCATCGCTCATCGTCGTTCATTCTCCCAGATACCTACAGCACCCTCAATTCATCTTTGTATCATTCATTGACGACGCATAGAGCGAATGGTCGCGCGCCGTGAGTCAGTGCATGGTCGAAGCGCAGTTAAGACGTTTACAAAGTCTCCACTATATTTGGTATGTATGTGATGGCGGTATACCTACCTGTACAATGCGAAGGGCAGCAGTCTACTCACTGGCGGACAAGTACTAACCTCAGCTAAATACGGCAATCTGTGTAGGCGCCTTTCGGCAGTTGCCGGGTACCCAATTTGTTTTTCTCCTGCACCGAGCCGCGCCTGCACTCGCATATCCAGCTGGAATGGCCATAGCAAAACAAGAACCTCAAGAATCACTACTTCCTCCAGGCCCGAAATCAAAGCCTGCCAATGAGAAGGCCCGTAAAGATGCCTTGAAGTCCATTACCGCCACTCGTCGCGCATCCGCATGGCAGATCCACCGCTGGCCGCTCGACAAACGAGTACTGTTGTCGCGGACGCGCGTCCATCTTCCACGGACATACCTAGGACGAGACGGTGAAGATGTGCGGGTAGTGCGTGAAGGACAAGACCTGAACCAGTTCGTCCACCGACATTACTTCGAAGAACTCGACGAGGCGCGCAAATCGGAATGGATTAATTTCGTGACGCCTGACGGGGTTGTATCAAGAAGGTACGTGATGATCAGTTTTGGTCGAGGATATACTTGGGCGCCCCTTGTTCGGATGCGAGCGAAGAACATGAACGCAACGTAGGCACGAATACCTAGGCCCGGATCCTCGGGTTGCTGGATATCACTTGGACGTCGACGGGGAAGTGCACATCAAGTGGTGGGACGGGTTTCTGCAAGACCAGTGGATGGACAGGCAGAAATGGCGATTCGAGGTGAAAGTGGATGATGAAGGGAAATGGGTGGAGATTGATGACTGAAGGTGTCGTGAATTCGCTATGTGCGTAGGTCTGACACTGATCGAAAGTCCAGAACGAACATATCTCTCCTGTCGTACTCAGAAGGACTGTGTATACACCACCTGTACGTTTTTCGTGCTTAGTGTTTGTCTGTCCAATGCATGGCTGTCGCCCCCATGATCGAATATGAGCCCAACGTGAAGGACCTGCTTTGTGAAGTCCCGTGGGCTTTCCGTATATACCACATCTTGTAACCATTGATCACAGTAATTCTTGTCCTTAGCATACATCAGACTCGAAACTATCACCGGGGGCACCACACCTAACCTCAGATTAGGGGTATGTTTCGTCTCACAGTTCGGCAGTTTAAACATTCGCCGACGATGTGGCGCACGATGTGTAGACTCGCGTGATCGGCAGAGTCTTCCTTCCTGCTGCTACTGTTCCTGACGGACCGCTTGGACCGAAACTACAGACCTGCTGACATCGCACAGAAGGCGAATGCGGACGGGACGGAGAGCCTAAACATGCTATCGGCGTACGCGATAAATACCACTCTGATAATGCTTAGGGACATTGTCGATCTTCCCCATGGCATCACATCGTCTTTTAGAGGCTTTCCGAGCAACAAAACCAGCTTTCGGCGTGTGGATAACCCTTCCCGGCTCCCTCAATGCTCGAGTGGTGGCACAAGCCTCGCCCCACCTATCCTGGGTGATCATCGACTGCGAGCATGGCATGACGTCAATCCAGCCCGGAGCTGCAGAATCTATACAAGCCATCGCTGGTCTGGGCAGCTCGGCTCCTAGTGTGCTTGTCCGCATCCCCGCCACAGGCCCTTGTGCGGATGGGAGTGCAAGCTGGCAGATCAAGTATGTTCTGGATGCGGGTGCACGAGGTGTTCTGGTACCTATGGTGGGTCGCTGCACGAACTCTTTGTAAAGATGGACGCTGGTTCTCAACGTTGGCTGCAGGTGTCTACTGCAGCGCAGGCAGCGTCTGTAGTCGCAGCAGCTCGCTTCCCACCGAAGGGGATTCGCGGGTTCGGCAGTCCTTTCACTCAATCGGTTTGGGGCATCTCAGCCACCGAATATCTTGCCACCGCTAACGACAGTGTTGTTGTACTCATCCAAATCGAGACGCGTGACGGCCTTGTAAATCTCGATGAGATATTATCGGTTGATGGCCTAGGTATGCTCGATCGATTGTTGGAGGGCTTAACGAATATCGATATATGCTGACTATGCATAACAGATGGTGTCCTCATAGGGCCCTACGATCTCTCCCTTGCACATGGTTACCCCCCGCCGTCACCTGACCCTCACCCGGATGTTGAGGTGATGATCCAGGATATCTTACGCAGATCGCGTGTGAAAGGAAAGAAATGGTCAGTGGTGTTTTTCTCATTCACTATGCGGACTCCTGCGAGCGTTCAATGCTTTGAGCTTGAGTACCGAGCCCAGTGGGCTCGAAGCCCGGCCAGTGGCGTGATTTCTTCCGTAAGACGCGCTCACCCGTCTTGTCCCCTCAGTGCGATTTTCTGTACGTTAGGTTCACAATCATTCAAACGAGCACAGGAAGGCTTCGACATGGTGCGTATAGCCCTCATTTATATCGATGCGTTTATGCGGTATATTTGACACGCCGTATTCGTTTTGGGATTTCCACAGATCAACGTCACTTCCGACACCGGAGCCATGACACAGGCGCTGGCTCAGAGTCTCGCGGTTGCAGCAGGACAGGCCCCGGGTGACAAGGAATTCGGCTATTGAGCGTTTCCACTCCCTCAATCGCTTATAAGGCGGGGTTTTGGAGATATGCAATCGTAACACATACACATTCAAATCAGATAGTCCCTGATAATGATAATCAAACATGCATAGTTTGGACACCGGATAGTCCGGCAGATGTCGGTCTTTTGATATCTAAGTACGCCACCGGCATGACTGTCACCGAGGCCGAGCTTAGGCACGTAATGTTGGAATGACACGCTCAACGCACATACAGTGTCGTTGACTATCTGTGAAATTTAAGTACAGCATTGATATGTGTATAACGTGTTTGGGACCAACGATAGGTCAACTTTCAGAGCTGCGATACGTCGGAGGCGGTGGTCTCCCGGACGGTGGGCGAGTAACACGAGATCTCGTCGACGGCATATATGTCAAGGTGGGCTCGACCGATGGTGGAGGTTGCGTGATGGTAGCGTATGACAAAGGCTGTGTGGTGTCGACGCCGAGCAGATTGACATTCGAGTCCGTTTGTAAGAGCGGAGTTTGTGATGCTTTTCTGAGAGCTCTTTTGTTATCGAGTCCCCAATATCGCAAAGGTGGTGCTAAGCAGGGCATTTAATGACGGGAAATGTGGTCAGCGCGTGTGACATTGAACAGCCTATATATGGGCACGCACAAGAAGTTCCAGCGGGCACGATGAATGGCGATATTGTCGGAGTTAGGGACAAGCGAGCCCCATTCTCACCTGTTTGTAGCGCGGAGGACCGCCCCTGGACGGCGATCTGCAAAGCCGCGATCCGTTGCCTGCGATAAAGATATAACGCGCAGAGAATGATTGCTGTAAAACCCAGGATACCACCAACCACACCGCCGACTACCGTTGATGTGCTGGCTCTGCTGCTCGTAACAGTGGATGAAGCGCTGCTTGAAGACCCATCGGGGCTCCCGGTTGTTGACTGAACGGGTGTAGGCGATGACAAAGTGGACGATAATGTTGGAATAGATGCGGTAGAAGTTGACGATGATGCTGTAGTAGACGCGCTAGAGCTTGGACAATGGGTGAATGTGTCATTGTTCTCAGATACCTGATCCTGTCCTGCAGCTTCTCTTGTGTATGTACTGCAAAGCCCTTAACGCAATTTCAAAAAAGGAAGCAGGCTCACTCACTAGAACCTGCACCAACATAAATCTTAGAATGGGAACATGAAGCTGCGAAATAGACTTACCAGGCGCCGGTGTTCCAAAACAAATTGTAGAGGAAGTTGTCAAGTTTGATCCCTTCATTACAGACTGCCGTCTGTATTGCCACAGGAAGACTACAAACATGATGAGCTTTGCACAAACACAGGTCATAGATCTGGATTCTGCTTACGATTCATTTGTGCCAGAACCGCAGCCGTCAAGATACTTGTAGTATGCACCATTGCCTGGTTCATACATATGGCCATTTACTAACAGAACTCGGATGGATGCGCGCAGTCACATACCCGCGTCGATTCCGTTGACATTACCCCCGTTGGTGTCTTGCTGACAGCTATATATAAATGTTCAGCTCGATACAATATCCACCGAGTTAAATGTTTCCATACTTCATACATAGCATGCTCAGCGAGAATGCGATAGAGTTACAGCAGCATGCAGCTGCAGGAACACGTAAGTACACAACGGAAGCAGATAAATTCCAGATGCTTACTTAGCTGATCATTGCACTTGTCTCCAGGTGCCGTGTTGCTGAATGTCGGAACTTGATCTTGAACGTAATATCGCATTGTTGGTGAATAGCACTCAGAGGCACCAAGAATAGACGTACATTCGCTATTGCATATTTGTCGCAGCCTTTGGTATGTGATGCCTATTCCCGTGACTTTTTATTAGCGATGAGGTATTCCGAAAGAATATATTTACCGACATGGCGTCTCTCCGACGGCATCGCTGTACCAATCCAGTGCATTCCCTGCGCAAGTTGTGTTCTCAGCCTCCGCAAGACTGCCTACCAAGATTGCAATCAGGCCTGTGAATCGCAAGGCGGACGCCAGCATCTTGAGCTGATTCGGGAGTTCGCGCAGGAGGGACGCAGCGGCGCGCATGTATACAGGTTTTTATACCAGTGTATCGCGACCATCAGACAGAACTTAATCAAAATATGCATGGGGACATATCAGTGCTATTTAGAATGGAAACAGCAATGAATGACCGCATCTTGACGCAAAGCCAGAAAAAAGTTTAGCAGAGACGCACAGACCTTGATCCTGTACCGTACAGTATTGAGATGGGATCATTCATGATTGTAACGATGTTCATTGCCATCAAACTGTGGGAAATATCATACTCGAGCCGTCCCACAAGCGGCCTCTCCGTGTTGACTCTTTGCAGCTCATCTCCCGCGATTCTCGCATGCAACATATCTTACCAAAATGCACGATGGAAGACGTTGATGAATAACCACGAGAGAAGGCGTTTATGGAATCGAGTCGCTTACATGAGTGGTCGGTTTGAACTCCGACTCGGACAATGCCGAATTGCCAAGTCTTCTCCCCGGAGTAAACGGAATGCCAGACTAAATCTCGAGTATTGGGCTCAGCTTAAGCGAGGCACTGTAAGGGTTTCCAAATCTCACGAAGGCTTTAGCTAATGTTGACTTCTCGAGATGCCTAGAGCTGACCCGCATGAGCTTCCTCGATGTCCTCAACGACGATGTCGTCGCAATCATCCTTACACTTCTATCTCCCCCAGACGCGTCGCGGCTTGCGGTAGTTTCTCGTAAGGCCTACACGTACGCCATGCCCCGTGTCCTCTCCGAAGTCGACTTGGGCTCTGTTGGTACCATTGCCGCGCGGCTTCGGCAAGAGCTGCCTGTCGGAGCTGCGCAAATGTTCTCATTCTGTAGCTTCATGCTTTCCGATGCACCGCGTCGCCTGCCCTACCTCAAAAGTCTCACGATCCGGCGCTGTGCATTCCTCGGATATGTCCCGATCCCCAATGAGTCCGACTCTTTGGTCACCATGCTCGTCGACATCTTAAACGGCGCCACCAATTTGGCAAAGCTGCTTGTCGAGGGTGCTCACAAGCTCGCCAAGGAGCCCCGTCTCCTCGACCTTATGTCAATACCAAGCTCGCCCATCCAAGACATCACTATCACCGAGATTCCAGCACGGGCGCTCGGAAACTTCACACTGCTGAGACCCCGGAAGGTCACCATTCGCAATATTCATCCTGACGAAGAGCGCGAGCTTCTCAGCCCGTTCAGCCATATTCCGCAGACTGTAGAACACCTCGTCATACTCGATCCCCAGGGCATCCTAGACGTCTATGGCTTCGGGGCTAGTTGGCCTTCCGTACAAATCTTGAACATCATGTCGACCATCCGAGCGTCTGTCCTTCCCGCCGCCTTCCCGAATCTTCGCTCTCTTCAGCTGCGCTCTTCCGTGTTTCTCCCAGAGCAAGACTGCATTTTGTCGGATAACACATGGCAATCGCTGGACTACGTCAACACAGATTCCACATTCGCCATCCCATGTCACACCCGCTGGCTGGCGTTGGACAGCCACTATTCTTGGCAAAGAAATGACCTCCTACCTCTCCTTGCGATGTCGTCCCCGGTCATCCTATCCTTCTGGCTCGACACCCCTCACATCACCATTTCCCTGAAACCGTTACTCCACAACCTGAAGTATCTCCACGTAGGATGGGAGAGCGATAACTTCTACGGCATGTCCCTGGCAGTCAGTGAGCAGAGAACTGGTGCTGCCTCATGGCTGGTATGTTCTACATGACATAACCCCGTGCTATATTGACATTACTGTCAGACATCCCGGCTGCAGCCCTTCAACGGACTGTCCATTCTTGGTGTGTCGGTCTACGTAAGCGTACTTCTAGGTGCGGACGCCCAAGACGCCGTGTTCTCATTAGCAAGCGCCGTCTCTGCATGCTTCTCAAGCGTGCAGTATGTCGGCGTGCTGGTCGATCGCTATACGTGGTGCCCTTCCGGTCCATCGATGGCACCTGAGTTCAACTCTGCTGACGTAGAGCTGCCATATGTCTGGTTCCGTGTCGTTCCCTGCCTGGAAGACGGGCGCTCTCGACTAGAGCGGCTCACTGCGGTGGAAGGCAGGAAGGCGCACCGTCACCTCATAGCCCAACCTTTGGAATCGTAGCCATTCACCAGGTGCACCTTTAATAATTATCGCGTCATTGCTATTCTCACCGAAATTCCTCTGCTACTAGATCCGTCACATACCCGATTGGTATAACCGTGGGTAACGAAATTCCTTCTTAGCGATCTGAATGAAGCGAGAGAACAATATATCCAATCATGTACCGAACACAAGGCCCATACTCTATGTTTATAAGTATCTCAATTCCCGGAAGGCCCTCCTGAGCTGCCTCGCATCTGCTGGGTCATTCAGCCATTCCTCCTTAGAACGACGGGATCGCGGCGCGGCACATTTTGTCACAAAAAGGTATAGTACGAGCACAGGATATCTCCACGAGCAGATGCGTAGCACGTTAAACTGCTGACGCAGCCTATGGCTCTGGCGTTCTCTACGGTTCTTCACCCATCAATGGGCGAATTAGCTGCCCATTCCCGTAAATTCTGGGTCGTGTAAACTGGCGTTGCGTATCTACGACGAGTATGTAGCGTCTAGGTCATGTGGAACTCCCTCCCAGTCGATATGCCGCTGATGCATCTGCTGTTGTTGAAAAAGACTTGATAGGCCGCAAAGTCCTCACTCAAAGCAATGCAGCTCAGAAGCTCAGTGCTGAGGGTTGTTATTTCGTGGAAGACGCGATTGTACAGTCTGCGCAGCATCGCCGTTGCTCCTCGTCGTTGCTCCTCGTTCTTATGAGTCCCGTTGATCTACTCATATTATTGTTGTCTTTCGCGCTATAGCCGGGCGAAATAAACCTCTACTCCGGTGAACTTTCCAGAGGGCATGTGATGTCCTGGTTAGGCATAAATATCTCAATCGGTATCAGAGCAGGCAGAACTTGGTGCTGAGGAGCGGCCTCCATACTTCCTATGACATGAGGGCAAGCTTTATGAAACACCGCAAGCACAATGTCGACGAATCACACTAGGCGGGATTCTTATTCACAATGTGACAATGCTGGCCAATGACCACTAAGGAAGTCGGGCAAGAACACGCCATGCCTCGCAACACCTCTAAGAGAGCATCGCCGCCGGACGCAGCGCGCGTCCAGGAGCCAAAGAACTTACGAAAGCTGCGTCTCACTTCGCGTTGTCGACCTCTACAGTACGTGCATTCAAAATTGCCGCTTCAAGAAATATCGCTGGATAAGAAGCGACTTTTCCGAGCTGGTTTTGAGCGCCCAAATGTGGCTGAAGGTCGCTGAAAGCGTCACAGATGACTAAGCGTAATGCAGACGTGACCTAATCACGCGCTTGGCTCGCGAAGGGCTGACCAGCCAATCAGGTTGGCGAATCAAGCAAGCGTGACATGCCGTAAGCCAAGTCTGCGAGCGCTAGACGAGCAGTCGCTTTTTTGTCGGAGGGGATGTGAGATTCCGCTGGCAGGGATTGGTAGTCTCCTGTGAGCAGAACAAAATACACTTCCTACGCAGGCTCCGGATATCCATGTATAACTAGGTTTCGGCTGCTTACATCTCGCTTCTTTGCCAGCGACATTTAAGCAGCAATTTTGAATGGACTTGGTCACAGCTAATGATCCAGACGAAGTTGATGCTGCTAAGTCTTTGTGTTCGCCATATTACTTACCCTCGAAAGCAACGGACCGTCGAATGCAGGCCCGTCCTAGCAGAATGTAATCATAGTGCCATACAGGAGAACAACCATCCTACACCTATTCGAATTCACAATAAATAGCAGAGCGAGAACTAACAGTAATTAATAACAAAGGTGCATCCGCAAGCTGTCTAAGTCTAAGACTACAATTAGGCTAAATTACGTGTCGCCGTAGAGAGCCGCAAATACACATGTATAACCAATGGGAGGAGCATAGTGAACTAAACAAGACATGTCTCCCGCACGTCATCTGTCGTATCTGTTCAGTCCCTGCAATAGCCGTTCGACGCGTTGGCATTCGTTGACAGGAAACTTGTGAGAGCGTCCGCCCTGAGAGGTAGCGACGAACCACTCCGTGGGTGAACCTCCCTCCGCGAGGTCTATAGGGCCACTTGTGTTGATGCCTACGTACGCGAGGGAAGAAATAGAAGTCGCGACGCGCGTGGCGACCTTGCCAGTGGTTGGCGGTTCTGCACGTGCAACGATAGGGACGACGACTGGGGTGAGCGAATCGACGTCTGGGAGTTCAGCAAATACAGGTCTTGGGGAGGAAGGTGGCGAGGCGGCCGGAGAAGAGAAGGGCGAGGGGAACGAAGTAGGTGTGCTGCTCGATAGGGATAGCCCGATCAATGGAAGCGTCGCAAGCAGCGGCCCGACACGCATCTACATCGGAACAACGGGCGAACATCGGTCACAGTTAGACTCTATATTATGAAGGGACCACGCACCATCCACGCGGTGACAGACGCCAGGGACTCGCACCCGTGCAGAGCAATATCGAGGTAGCGCACGCTGCACGCGACCTCCGGGATTCGCGCGACAAACTCTTCGTCGGCCACCGATACGTCCACGACACATGACAGCACAATCGGCTCGGTGCGGCGGATGTACTCCAGTGCGTTTTCAAGCGTCTCGACGTCGGGCGTGAGCGGACTGCGCAGGTCGACGCGCCGGATAGAGCACGCGAAGTCGAGAATGGGGTGCCCGGAGTCGACGTGATCGAGGCGTGGCCAGGCGTGATCGGGGGTGGCGTTATCCTTCGCGAACGAGTCCGGTCCGGAAACATCTGCGCCTCCAACGAAGTGCAGGAAGCGCACAGTCGGGAACGCCTGAGCGAGGGTAGAAAGAGGTGGGACGTCCCCTCCCAAGGTTACGCGGTTCAGCTGCTTGCAGCTCGCCAACGCACGCACGATGGGCGGGTACGCCGTTACAAGCGCGCTGAGACCCCAGATTGTTGCGGCGTGCAGGTGCACAGCATCTGCGATAACCTGTGTTAGAAGACGTACGGACTGCTTGTCCACTGTCCAAATTCCATCCACGCGGACGCGGACGGCGTCCCGTCGAACATCTAGACTGTGTAGGTGCAGCAATCGTTGCTTGGGGTCCTCGAGCATCCAGGAGCAGAATCGACGTAGTTGAAGATTGGCGGGGCTACTGGCGGGTTTGTGAAAGGCGCCACCGAGCGAGACGTGCGCAATGACACGAGGCATGGCGACAGCGTAGGCACGGCGAGAAGTGATAGCGAGCTGACTAGCGTCGTGTGGAGTGATGAGCAGCAAGACGAGTGACAAAATGTCATGGTTAAGATCGAGTAGGTTTATCGTCGTCATGGTCGCCTGAGGTGACCTGTTTTCAAAAGATACGAAAAAGGGGAATGAGAAATGCCTGGTCAGCACAAAAGCGACTGCCCTCTATAAGTCTATCGGAAGTCTGGAGAGACGGTGGTCGTCGTAAGATTAGTCTATGGTAGGGCCGAGTCAGGTCGGAATGAGCACATATGTTGGAAAAACCTAACCCTAATCCGGGGCCCCGTGGGGCCATGCTCCTTCCGGATACACCCGATCCCCGCCTGCGCTTGGCAAAAATTCGCGTCGCGAGTCGCGACGAGGTCAGCCACCAACTCCTGTCGATAATCAAAGGTCCTCCTGGAGCATATCGTCCGATACTTACCGCAATATACAAGCTTTGCTTTGTTGTGGTATAGAGCCATCGTATGTTTGCGGTCAATGATCTCGGTCGCTTCCGTTTACTCCCGAGCCTGCTGGCAACATACTTACTCATCCTGTGCTGACCTATCGCAATCCTGAGGTTCGAGAGGTGATCTCGGCTGCATCAACGAGCTGATATTAACGTTTCAGTCCGAGTCCATCCTTCACAGAACCTGTATTATCGGATTGGCTGCATATGCGGACTCTGAAGCTGACCGGAAGACGAGCACACGAGGCAGTCCTCCGACAGTTCCAGTTCCACGGATGATTGGTCCGGTTCTGCGTCGATCGTCGCAAGAAAGCAGAGTGGTTGGCTGAGTGGTGGGGGCATAACCTAGAGGCGGCAGTCGTCCGTATTAAAAGGCGGCGCGGATCCAGGCATGCAAGTTCGGGTAATTGGTCATAGGACCAATTACAGAACCCCCAAAACGTAAATGACCGCAAGGTGTCGCGAAAGCAGCCCCGATATGCACATCTAGGAAAAGACACTTCCCATGCTTGCATTCTCCGTCGAACGCAGGCACCGGCCAACAAGCACCGGCTCGCAACGTTCTTTTATGATGTGTGAGCAGAGGTCATACTTCATGCAGATCTTCAATTACTGACAGTTTTAGGGGCTAGACTAATACATTCATAGCTGAAAACACGCCGTTGCTTCATACTCTGAGAAATTATGATACAGTCCGACTATGGGCGAGAGGCACTGGTGAATACTTGTGCTAATGCCCGGCCGGAGTAGCCTCTTACAAGGCTGTGTAATACGATCGAGGACATCGAAGACATGCTAAATGCAAATTGGGGAGGGGATCTGATTGAGAATGCGCTTATAGAAACCGATATCGCGAGAAGCGTGTTCTGCTCGAGCCGCAGAGGGAATTGGTGAGTGCGTCAGATTGCATGTAATAATCGATGATTAACAGTGGTACGGTTCGAGGGAATTAGCCCGCGAGGAAGCCCATGAAAGGGATGTCCACCAACGTGGCAGTCGCTGAGTTGAAGGTGTCCTTAGAACCTGATCGTGATGGTGCTGGAGTAAGCTTCGACTTAGTATCTCGGATACATACTGATGAGTCTCGAATAGTAACCTTGTGGTAGAGGCGCGTTCAGCACGGCCTGAGGCGGCGACAACAATCGGATCTTTAAGAAAAATGCGGTTTCCGCCGGGTTGGCTTCCACATGTGGCAGATGATCGTCACGACAATCCAGATGACGTTCTTCAGGGGCCCCGTCACACTTGTTCTGCTTCAGTGTGAGATCTGGTATGATTTGCGTGCTTGCGCAGCGGAACAGAGGACTTAAGCCAAAGCAGCGAACGTACAAGGAAAGACATACTCGCAATCGTTGTTCGGTATCTCAGAGATACAGAATCGCCCGCTGCACTTACAGCTGGGGTTGAAGAGAATCAGGTGTGTGCCGGACACATGTAACGACAGTGTAACACACCAGAGTACCGAGTCGTCCGCAGAATTTGAGTTATCCTCGTGGCATCGAGGGCATATTTTCTTCCCCCGGTCAGCGATGGGCACCCTCTGTTCGAAAATGATGCCCATCGCCAGCTCTGAGCCAATCTTCACAGCCGTCGCCCACTTATGGGGGGTGATAGTTTCCTCTCTGCCATTCGGCAACGTGCGGGTCACCTCATATGCTCCGCGCGCGACATATCTGCTGCCCATGAGCTCATGGCCATTGCAGCCGGAGCCGAACATGACCTTGACCGTCGCATCAAATTGCTACTTCGGCCAGCTGTAAATGTGTTTCAGAATCATATCACGCTATGTAACGTACCTGCCATTCCATGCAGAGCATCATTGGGAGGATCATCCGCCTCCCGAGGACGTCGGTGAACATGATTCCATTCTGACTGCTGAAGCCCACTGCGGGGGTAATGTTCTGAAGGAATACCCATACTTCGTTTAATTTGGCTTGCACAGCCGTTCGTTCTTCTCTGGCCTCATCCCTGCCCTCCCTCGTCTCATCCTGACCTTGCTGCACAGTGACTCTGTAAAAGATGGGGCTCAATCAGCTTCTGAATCAAAGGAAGCCGGCGAGGTGCTCTCACAACACAAGTGATATCAGATGCGTGGCAACGGTGAGGCGGTAACGGTCCAACGTCTTCCTGAACTCAATTGCTTCGTCCTTCCTGCGCAGACGCCAGTCAAGCTTCCGCGCCGCCCGCAGCGCCCAGCCGCGTGGCACGGATCTTGGTCCTAGCGCACGCCCGAACGGCGCGATGCGCTCCTGGAAATCGTCTATGATGTCCTGACATGACGCGATATCCTTCGATATGGTGTTTGCGAAATCCTTGGGCACATCGGCGTGCTGGATAACAGATTGAACCTGCGACAGATCTCTGGACAAGCGCCGAATCTCGGAGGAGACATCCTGAAAGTCTGCTGACGATCCCCGGCTGTCATTGAGGGCTTGGTAAATTCCAAGGGCCAATTGGACTACGGTTACGATGTCTCCAACAGCGTTGCAGGTGATAGGAAATGGCATGTTCGTGGGAGGTGGACAGTGCGTAAAGGGGGAAAGAGAAGGATGTACGGTCGCGCAGTGGTACTAAATACCTCGTCGGGTGGTATCGGCTGTGTGCATCAGACGGCGCGCAGCTGTTGACTCAAGGCGCTGCGCTGCCAATAAGAGGCTCCTTTTTCGGTTGTGAGGGCGGCCACACTGACGACAGGACATATAGTGCCCTGCGCATGGCATGATTAGAACAGTCACCCGTGGACGCGGACGCAGGTAGACCGGTTCGAACTGTCGAGCTTCCTTCGATATGAGATGGCAGTCATAATGCAAACTGCGCTTTCCCCTTCGTACCGTGAAGTCCCTCGTCAGAGCCTAGACGTAGAGACGCCTACGGGTCTCTGTTTGAGCGGGTATCGTGTTGAGATCATTTCACATTGTGGCAGTGTCAGTGAGACATGGCCACTAACTGTTGGACTTAAACTTGCCAAGAATACTCTTCTACCAAATGTCTGTGCAAGAACGTCATCATCTCATGTAGTACCTTTCAGAAGATGCTCACCTAGTGTACTGCAAACAGTGCCACTGGTCAAAACAACCCCGAAAGCCGACTATCGTAGGCGGTCCCGACTACTGTATGAGGCCATACGCGAGTATTGCGCAGCAATATAGACAGGTATTGAATAATATTAGCCAGCAATGGATTCGCACCTCACGCTGAGCTCATACTCGATCATGGCCAGCCATGCATTAGACAGGCCAACACTGACCACCGCTAATAGCGCATAGGTTGTGTACCCACAATCCTCTGAGTGCGACATGATACAAAATTGTTCGTTCTGGACTTCCTATCAATGTGAGACATATGAACATAGCGAGTTCACGACACCTTCAATCATTCATCTCCAACCAATTCCCTTCATCATCCACTTTCACCTCGAATCGCCATTTCTGCCTGTCCATCCCCTGGTCCTGCAGAAGTCCGTTCCACCACTTGATGTGTACCTCCACGTCGACGTCCAAGTGGTATCCAGCAACCCGAGGATCCGGGCCTAGGTATTCGTGCCTACGTTGCATTCGTGTTCTTCGCTCGCATCCGAACAATTAGCGTCTCCTAAGTTCGGTTCAGGCCCCAGGGACCTCTTGCGGCGTGCCCTAAAGGCTTGAACCGAACGTTCCTACCTCCAGTATTGACCGGGCTGAACCTTGGACTGAGCATATCAGGACTTGTATTGTGGCGAATAGATTCGAATGTGCGGTTGTCGAGATATTTGGGTTCTATATTCGAAGTACTTAAATTAATAAGTCGATGCTAACTTGTCGCTCAAAAGTCGCTGGAAAGAGGTGAGAATCAAGCGACCAAAATAGGCGATCAGGATCTCATCTCCCCTCCCCGGCGCCCGCTCATCTCCCCAGATCTCCCCTCCTTGCTCATCTCCCTTGCTTGCTTATCTCTTCTCCTCGCTCATCTCCCCTCCTAGAACAGCGACAAATCAGCGACTGCTTGTCGCAAGGGCTCGCAGATTCTGGCATGTCACGCTTGCATAATTCGCCAGCCTGATTGCTTGCCAGCGGTCCTTCGCGACCCGAAACCGTATTGAGTCACAGTCACATCACGCTTAGTCATAAGCGACCGTTTCTGCGACCTTCAGCCACATCTGAGCGCTTCAAAGCAGCAAAAAGTCGCTTTTTTTTCAGCGACATCTAAGCAGGGACCTTGAATCGACCTACTAACGTGGCGCGATTTTTTTGCCGAATGGGCAGGATGACTGCTAACAGTAATATGTCACGCGGATTTATGGCAATGAACGTCGTTACAATGATGGATGATCCCATCTTAAAACTATATGGTATGGGATTAAGATTTGTTTGTCTGTGCTATATCATTCTCTGGCTTTGCGTCAAGATGCGGTCATTTATTTCTGTTTCCATTATAAATAGCACTGATATGTCCCCATGTATATTTTGATTAAGTTCTGTCTGATGGTCGCGATACACTGGTATAAAAACCTGTATACATGCGCGCTGCTGCGTCCCTCCTGCGCGAACTTCCAGATCAGCTCAAGATGCTGGCGTCCGCCTTGCTCTTTACAGGCCTGATTGCAATCTTGTTATGCAGTCTTGCGGAGGCTGAGAACACAACTTGCGCAGGGAATGCATTGAATTGGTACAGCGATGCCGTCGGAGAGACGCCATGTCGGTAAATATATTCTTCCAGGATACCTCATCGCTAATACAAAGTCACGGGAATAGGCATCACATACCAAAGGCTGCGACTGATATGCAATAGCGAATGTACGTTTATTCTTGGCACCTCTGAGTGCTATTCACCGACAATACGATATTTCCAGATCAAGTTCCGACATTCAGCAACACAGCACCCGGAGATAAGTGCAATGATGAGCTAAGTAAGCATCTGGAACTCTTCTGCTTCCGTTGGTTTACTTACGTGTTCCTGCAGCTGACTGCTGCTGTAATTCTATCGCGTTCGCGCTGAGCATGCTATGTATGAAGTATGGAAACATTTAACTCGGTGGATGTTGTATCGAGCTGAAAATTTATATATAGCTGTCAGCAATATACCAACGGGGGTAATGTCAACGGAATCGACGCGGGTATGTGACTATGCGCGTTTATCCGAGTTCTGTTAGTAAATGGCCATATGTATGAACCAGGCAGTGGTGCATACTACAAGTATCGTGACGACTGCGGTTCTAGCACAAATCAATCGTAAGCAGAATTCAGATCTATGACCTGTGTTTGTACAAAGCTCATCATGTTTGTAGTCTTCCTGTGGCAATACAGACGGCAGTCTGTAATGAAGGGATCAAACTTGACAACTTCCTCTACAATTTGTTTTGGAACACCGGCGCCTGGTAAGTCGATTTTGCAGCTTATTTTTTTCATTCTAAGATTTATGTTGGTGCAGGTTCTAGTGAGTGAGTTTGCTTCACGTTTTGGAAATTGCACTAAGGATTTCGCAGTACATACACAAGGGAGTCTGCACAAGAGGATCAGGCATCTGAGAAGAACAACACATTCACCCATTGTCCAAGCTCTAGCGCGTCTACTACAGCATCATCGTCAACTTCTACCGCATCTATTCCAACATTATCGTCCACTTTGTCATCGCCTACACCCGTTCAGTCAACAACCGGGAGCCCCGACGGGTCTTCAAGCAGCGCTTCATCCACTGTTACGAGCAGCAGAGCCAGCACATCAACGGTAGTCGGCGGTGTGGTTGGTGGTATCCTGGGTTTTACAGCAATCATTCTCTGCGCGTTGTATCTTTATCGCAGAAAACTGATCGCGGCTTTGAAGATCGCCGTCCAAGGGCGGTCGTCCGCGCCACAAACAGGTGAGAATGGGGCTCGCTTGTCCCTAACTCCGACAATATCGCCATTCATCGTGCCCGCTGAAACTTCTTGTGCGTGCCCATATGTAGAGCGGTCAACTATACGCGCGCTGACCGCATTTCCCGTTATACGATTACCTTCTTACAAGCGGACTCGAATGACAATCCGCTCGATGTCGACACCGCAGAGCTTGTGCCATACGTTACTGTCACACAAAGTGCACTACAGATCGGCGACGGACCCACCTTGACACATCTACCTTCGACGAGGTCTCGTGTTACTTGCCCACCGTCCAGAGGAGCGCCTCCGACGTACTACAGCTCTGAACCATCTGGGAGAGCGCCTCCGACGTATCACAGCCACGAAAGCTAATGCATCATCCCGTCCCGAACACTTCCTATATATGTTCCTGATAATCAAACACGTGTAGTTCGGACACCGAATCTGATATGAATGTGTATGTGTCACAATTGCATATCTCAAGACTACACCTTTGATCTTATTTTATATTTTTAAATTCAGTTTGGTATCCGCTCGAGGAAGACTACGCCTTACAAGCGACCGAGAGAGTGGAATTGTTCAATAACCAAATCTCTTGTCACTCGGGGCCTGTCCTGCTGCAACCGCGAGACTCTGAGCTAGCGCCTGTGTCATGGCTCCGCTATCGGAAGTGACGTAGATCTGTGGATATCCTAAAATCAATCAGAGGAAGTATACCGAATAAGCGCGTTGACATGATTGGGGACTATACGCACCGTGTCGAATCCTTCCTGTGCTCGCCTGAACGATTGTGAAGCCGACGTACAGTATATCGCAATATGAAGCAAAATGTATGAGCGTACTGGCTGGGCTTCGAGCCCAGTAGCTCGATACCTAAGTCCAAGGCATCTGAACACTTGCAGGAATGCACATAGCATCAGCAAGAAAAAGACCACCGAACTTTTTTTTCCTTCTGCGCGCGCTTTGCGTAAGATATCCTGGATCATGACCTCAACATCGGGGTGAGGATCAGGTAACGGCGGGGGGTACCCATAAGCAAGGGAGAGATCATAGGACCCTATGAAGACACCGTCTGCAAATGTTATGCATAGTCAACATATATCGACTCCCCTCGTTGCTCTTGTGGCACGGACAACGAAACTGTGCTCCACTACCTCCTCCGATGCCCAAACTGGAAACGCGCTCGCGCTCCGCTCCGACGCGCCTTCCCTCCTTCGAACTTACAACTACGCACACTGCTCAACGACCCCGACGCTCTCCCGCTCCTCTTCGAATACATCAAGGCGACCGGCTGCTTCGCGGCCGGCGGAAACGATCGCACCCCCCCCCCAGATGATGTTACACTGAGGCACGAACACCACTCGACGGTTATGATTCCACACAGCTCCCCCTTTCCCCCTTTCTTACTCTCTTCCTTCTTTCATGCTCTCCTTGAATTTTCTCTCGTAATTTTTACCCTTCCCTTTCCATACGACGCGGCCCGACTGACCCACCACCCTCCGCCCCTGCACGCGCTCACTCTCCCCCATGCTACCGGACAGCCAACGACCTCGTTTACTTCTACTCGCATAGCACGCGCATGTATTATCCGGCATCGGGCAACGCCCTCAAGCGGATACAAAACTGGATTTAAAAATAAATAAAAAACATATATCGATATTCATTGAGTCCTCCACATACCTAGGCCCTCGACCGATAATATCTCATCAAGATTCACAAGGCCATCACGAATTTCGATTTGTCGGTGGCTGATATGCCCCAAACCGACTGAGTGAAAGTACTGCCGAACCCACGAATCCGCTTCTGTGGGAAGCGAGCTGCTGCGACTACAGACGCTGCCTGCGCTGCAGTACAGACCTGTAGCCAACGCTGAGAACCAGCGTCCATCATGACACAAAGAGCTCGTGCAGCACTAACCAGAGGTACTAGAACGCCTCGTGCACCCGCATCCAGAACATACTTGATCTGCCAGCTTGCACTCCCATCCGCACAAGGACCTGTGGCGGGGATGCGGACAAGCACACTAGGTGCCGAGCTGCCCAGACCAGCGATGGCTTGTATCGATTCAGCAGCTCCGGGCTGGATCGATGTCATGCCATGCTCGCAGTCGATGATCACCCAGGATAGGTGGGGCGAGGCTTGTGCCACCACTCGAGCATTGAGAAAGCCGGGAAGGGTTAATCACACGCCGAAAGCTGGCTTTGCTGAACGGAAAGCCTCCAGAAGACGGTGCGACGCCATGGGGAAGATCGACAATGTGCCAAGGCCGCAAAGAGTGGCATTTATCGCGTACGATGATAAGATGTGCGTTCGCCTTCGGTGCGATGTCAGCAGGTCTGTAGTTTCGGTCCAAGAGGTCCGTCAGGGACAGTAGCAGGAAGAAGGTCTATCGGTCACGCGAATGGACATATCGTCACATCGTCGGTGAACTGTCGCGCTCTGAGACGAAACATACCCCTAATGTCAGGTTAGGTGTAGTCCTCGCGGTGATAGGCTGAGTCTAATGTTTGCTAAGGGGAAGAATCACTGTGATCAAATATGGATAATACGCGGTATAATCGAAAGCACATCCAACCTCACCAAGCGGGAGGCCCTTCACGCTTGGCGCATATTCGATCATGAGAGCAATAGCCATGCATTGGAAGGCGAATAATAAGTCCCAATAGCATCCATTTTTTGCATATACACAGTGCTTGTGAGTACAACGTGACAGAAGAATATCTATTCTAGATTTTCTATCAGTGTCAGACCTACCCACATAGCGAAGTCACGACACCTTCAGTCATCAATCTCCACCCATTTCCCTTCATCATCCACTTTCACCTCGAATCGCCATTTCTGCCTGTCCATCCACTGGTCTTGCAGAAACCCGTCCCACCACTTGATGTGCACCTCTCCGTCGACGTCCAAGTGATATCCAGCAACCCGAGGATCCGGGCCTAGATATTCGTGCCTACGTTGCATTCGTGTTCTTCGCTCGCATCCGAACAAGGGGCGCCCAAGTATATCCTCGACCAAAACTGATCATCACGTACCTTCTTGATACAACCCCGTCAGGCGTCACGAAATTGATCCATTCCGTTTGACGCGCTTCGTCGAGTTCCTCGAAGTAATGTCGATGCACGAACTGGTTCAGGTCTTGTCCTTCACGCATTACCCGCACGTCTTCACCATCTCGTCCCAGATACGTCCGTGGAAGATGGACACGTGTGCGCGACGACAGTACCCGTTTGTCGAGTGGCCAGCGGTGAATCTGCCATGCGGATGCACGACGAGTGGCGGTAATGGACTTCAAAGCATCGTTGCGAGCCTTCTCATTGGCAGGCTTTGATTTTTGGGCCGGAGGCAGTATTGGTTCTTGTGGTTCCTGTTTTGCTATGGCCATTCCAGCTGGGAAGTGCGAGTGCTGCCGCGGCTCAGGAAGAAAATAAATTGGCTCTCCGGCAACTGCCGTCAGGCGCCTACATTGATCCAATGTGGCAGCTCAGATGCCGTGTTTGGCTGCGGAAAGTGTGGCTAGTGTCCGCGAGTGAGTACAGTGCTGGCCTTTGCATGATACAGGTAGGTATGAATCCATAATGCGGAGACTTTGTAAACGTCTTACTGCGCGTCGACCATACACTGACTCATGGCGCGCGATCATCTGCTCGGTGCGTAACCAACGACCAATACAAAGACAAATGGAAGGGAGTGTACAGAGTACGTATCCGGAAGAATGAGCAACTATGGGCGATGTACAAACTCGTCGCATTGGGGATTGATGTTGCCAACTTGCTATCGTCATCAAGGCCCGTCAGAGACTCTGCTAGTGGTGCGGGGGGGAGCACAAAGACCTGTCAGCCAACGCGAGGATGTTCACACTCCATGGGATAACAACGGTCTGTACGCCGTGACGAGGGATGTCAAGTTCTTTGGCCGCAGTAGGGGTCCACGAATGTCACGGCCTCCCCAGTATTCTTAGGCTCCCCCTGAGATATAAGTGCTAACTCGCTGTGGTTGATGTAGATAGAAATTCCAGAAAGTGAGCACATATACGGACATAGTACTAGCAGGAAGCAACCGGCGGAACAAGATATCGCAGCAGTGGGTTTGCGTCGAGATGGTGAAAATCGCGCAGACGGCAGTGACTCGACGCGTGGGAAGAAGTGAAGTAAAGCCAATCACACAGCCGCTGGCGCTGAGCTTCCAGGCAGACTAGCCATCCTTCTTTCTCTGGACGAAGATCGCAGTATGCTGGAACATCCACTCAGACATATCAGAGCGAGGAGGGGCCGAGTTGTAATTGCTGGTCGTGCACCATCAGATGATCGATCAATGCTCGATCATTACAGGAGCCGAATAAGAAAGGTGGACGCTTTGAACAGCAACCAAGCGTGAGCCTCACTAGGAACTGAGGTGTGCGCTGCTGATACACGTAATGTCCCTCAACTCAATTATGCTACTGAAACACGATTCGACATCAGAACAAGGAGGTTCGTCTTGGTGACAAATCGACCATGCTGTCACCGATGACTGTCGTTGACAATGAATGCAATTTCTTTATCACCACTAACGCGAGGCCGTTGCAGATAGGTTATCATGTCATTCAGGAGCACAAAGTCTCCATGACCTTCATTGTCATTCTGAGCAGCGCCCTGAAGCCACTCCTCAGTACACAATGCAAACAATGCACGACCACCAGGTGCAATAAGTGGCGATGCAAGATGTGCAGAATATAAACATAAGATTTCCATCTGGATGGACCACAAATTCTTTCGCAGTGCTCACAACCCACCTCTCTTTTTTCAGACGAGAAGCACAGGGCGAATCGCATACTACATGTATGTTCCTCCACTCTTCCGACCTTCCGTTCTTCCACCAACTTGAGATTTGTTTGACTTTGCGCTATAGACAATTTCTACATATTCGGGAACTGCAATTCTCTTCAGGAAACTGCCTCCTATGCGATGTCTTCGCATAGATAATCGGCCACAGAGCCTCCGCCACCGCTGGTACCGTCCCTGTCCACCAAGCCACTCTCCCCAATCTGCATCTACGTGCCTAAGCAAGTCTTGAACCCACTCTCTACGACTTCTGGGACGTCCCTGTGCACTCCTAGTCGTGGCTCATCCCCCGGGGCTGTAGTTCATTCACCCAGTTGGCCATTGACCGGCAAACTTTGCCCTAGTGAAGCAGGTGGGACTACACCCAGATCCAGAAGTGCCACAGTATCCGGTGCTCATGAGGCTGGATCAAGTATTTGCTGCGGAGAGACAGAGAGACAGACCACATAGTCATTAACACTGTGTGCGTCCCCACCAAGTCCGAGGTCTTTCCTCGATTACCAGGTGTTGGCATGAGTCTAATGAGGAAACCTTCCTGCGGATCTTTACTTTGGAATAGCGGTGAGCTCTCCGTCATCCACGAGAGAGACAAGACTGGCCACCCTACAGACAAGTTTGGGCTAGGTGGTTCCAAAATCGTCGAGGATATGGGCACGAGCGCCAGCTATCGCGTCAAGTGGGACGACAGCGACTGCAACGTCTCCGCAATCAAAGGATATGGAGACGATGTGGTGTTTGTCAAACACGTGCACAAATGCAAGAACGATGTCATCCAAGTCGACTTGGCTTTGCTACTGAAGCTGCTCAAGCGCTATGTCGACCTCGACAAAGCTCTTGCCACCTGCGAGCCGCGCAGTGTCCAAGACGCTAACACCAAATTTTTTGAGTAGCTGAGACTGGCCGTGAGGAAGCTCTATGCGGCGGTGGGAGATATCCACTCCACGGAGGGATATGACTCATCGCTGGAGTACTCGGATTTGTCGCCGATCCCCTAGAGCCGTTTCACGTCAACATGGAGTCCGTCGATGACCTGGTAGACCTGCGAGACATGGACTATCAACTGATGATGCTGGCAATGTCGCATTTCCGTTCACCGATGGACACCGTGGACATGGAACAGGAGCACCGCAGGCCAGGACTCTCATCGCAGGACATCTTTGGGCTACTACGGCGGGTCAAACCACGCATCAAAAATACTGTCGACTTAGTCAGCAAGCGGAGAAATAGATCGCAAGCCTCCTGTGCGAAGGACAAGCTCACGCATCTGCAGGAACCGCCTAAGGGGACAATGATCTAGCGGTGACAATGACGACAGATATACCGTAGGGACATGAGGAGAAAACGGCAAGGATGAGAAGAGGCATACGACGCTCTACTCGCGAGCAGGTCTGCCGACCTTCACCAAGGCACGTGCAACGTCTCTTGGGATGCTCCCTGACCTCTCTTCAAGTCCTGCCAACGTTTTGGGTATATGCGGAGGAAGACAAAGATGCATGTCCCAACACATTCTAGACTGGCCACACTTAGATACGTTTACACGCCACTGCGATCACGAGGATGCATATACTGAAGCTACAGAGACAACTGTGCATATGTATTGACCCAGGGCGTTCAGAGCGGCTGTCAGTGACATTTCTCCACGAATCAGCCTCGCGGGATGAGGACGAGTTTCCACATAAGGCCATGAAGAACTTTGTTATCATGATCCCTGAGAGCTGTCCTCGACTCAACGAGAGTAGCGGTCATGATTCACAATTTTCCCGGCTTCGTCATATGGCATTGAATGGATCTTTCCGCTCGTGTTCCGCCTAGCAAGGCTGAGAACACTATGCTGACCGGAGGCCTGCTGTCCCATCTCAGCTTTTCCTCGGCACTTGGCATGCTGAGGACAAGTGCTGCAGATGTTGGAACAATGGTGCGAACAGCGACGGGGCGCGTTTGTCCACGGGCGTAGCGATGCCCGTAAGGGACAATCGCGTGCGGTACGTACATCGCGCGGGGTCGTTATATACTACGATAGGGGCTACTCGCGCGCCCGAGCTTGCGAGCTCGTTCCTGAACGCGTGCTTCAACAGCAGAGACGTGGAGAAAAATGGCTCATTACTTCCTCGCGGTTCGTTAGCTCAAGACCCACGCCAAAGACGCGAGAGTGTACCTCCAACTCGTACAGCACAACAAAGGGAACACGTAAATACCCTCCGCTCTGCAGTAAATTCAACAGTGCTTCCCTGTTTCAAACCATCTTCTGCTAGCGCGTCGGATGCTATGATGCTCTAGCCTAATGGAAACAAGAGGACACGCTCGCGCTTGAGTACATCCTCCATATGTCGTACCTGTACACACCATCCTCATCAAAAAGCTCCTGTGTCCATTGCATGCACACCTTGATGGCGGTATGCTGTGCACAGTGGTTAGAGCCCTACGATTTCAATCAATTCTGACAGCGGTAACGTATTCGGCACTGCCTCATCCTCGGGATGAAGTAAACGTAGGAATTAGCAGGAATCAAAGCAGTGATGAGCGACCTCGCCCTGAAATGGGTTTCTACGAGCAATAGTACGCTCAGCTACGCTGATCTTCATAGATAGTCCGGGCAACATAACGAGCGAGCGGAGAGAGCTCACCAGTAATGCCCCGAGACAAATTAACTCGAAGGGTCTTGTATATTGTACAGGGAGAAGGTTCGCATACAACAATCATGTATGGAAACCAGCATCCTTTACCTGGTTGTTAGCGAGAACCACAATGCGTACGGGCTACTCACCTTCAACGATATATCTGGTCCCACATCGAGACGACAGTCCTTTGAGCCACGTCAGGGGTGAGTGCTCATCCGCAAAGTCTGTCGCTGACGTCTAGGGCGCGAATAATTGTTACTCCTGACCGCCTCAGAGTGTAAGCAGGTTACAATGGAATTCAGCCACAGATCTGCATTGCTGCCTAAGTCCAGGGCATCGAGTCGTGGATTGCCCAGAGAGAGCTGTCACATAGCACGCTGCACGAAGTCTTCAGCGCGAGTGGCACACAATGGTGTGAAGAGGTAACCCTGGGAAGGTGACAATTGCACCCTTGTCAATACAACATACACTAACGCAACTCTTCCTAAGGACCGTCGTGCCTTTCCGCTTTCGAAGAGACGCTGAATGCAAGACGGTTCAGGAAACCCGTTTCCTCGCGTGGTCATATGGGCCTGCGATGCCTTCTCGCACCTGATACCAGACCGTGGGACCTACAGCGGCTCGCATGGCCTCGAGAATTAAGCAAGTCAGCTTTGTTTCTACTTGACAACACGTTGCATCAGTGCAAGAACCGGGGAGTGTCACCGTCCTCTGATCGCCCCCACCAAGAACAAAGGCATGTCGCTACAGTTGCCACTCGATCGCATTTCATCTCGCATGCTTTCGACTGGCCCTGCTTCTCCGGTCTGTCATTCGTTATCAAGAACCGTATCTTCTGGAAGATCCGGAGGCTCACCTTGGCAAGGACAATACCTCATGTTCGATGTATCTATAGCTGGACCAGATGCATTGCAGAAGTCATATATAAGCTGCTTTTCCCTTACTCTTCAGACCATTCTCGCATGAGCGCCAACTCATTCCAGCTGCACAGACCAACCGACTTCTTGATACAACGGTCTATACTCCTATATCGATGCCTGACTCGTAGATGACGAGCGAGGGCTTATGGACAGTGCGTCGTCCTGAAGATTGAGCGAGGAAGTCGAGAATGACCACTACCCCAAGTGAAGAGAAGCAGAGACTTGAATGAATAACCAGGTCGAACTTAGGGTTCGACCGACTAATGGTACAACTACTTATACAAGTACCGACTGCGCACGGACCATCGTGTCTATGTGGTCGTGTTAGTGAAGAAAGAAACGTAGTGGTACGATACCAGGAACGAAGTGCGCACGGACCCCATTATGTAAGCTACATAATGTTCAACCTGCGGGTGAGCGCTAAGACAGGCGCCAGTATGGGCGCTAGTAGTACAAGGAATAGAACGGAAAGACAAATGTTTCATTACCCCCCTACCAGAGTCGAAGTCCCATTCGACTACTTACTGCTCACCATCTCCATACAACTCCCAATCTACGCCGTCGTCCTCCTCTTCGTCGAACCACTCCTTGCGCGCGTTCCTCCCTACG